TTTTTGTAGGCATTAATTCTTGGAGCTCGCAATTCTTCGTCGGGTCGATCGGCCCCAGGCACAAATAAAGAGTGCGTTCCCTCGAGCAAAGCAAAAGGAGCTGTGAAATTCTCCGGAAATAATGGAGGAATTGCGGCTCTCGAGCTCGCTCCATCATCTATCGTCCCGTAGGAATATTACAGGACGTGTATCACAAGAACCGTGCTTCGGTTCTTTTCCGTGTTAAGGATGGAACGCGTTCTAAAAGATGCTAGTATGATAATACGCTGATATCGCAATGACGTCTGATAACTATAAATGCTTATAAGACGAGACGCCTAATTAAAACATTGTTGCAGGAGAAGTCGAGTGAAAACTTCATAGAATTCCTGATTAATTACCTATGTTTGATATTTCGTTTCACTTTCATTTCTGTTGCTTTCTTCGTTCCTCATGCGTCATTTAATATAGTTCATTAGAGGTCCTATTCATGATTGCACGCCTTTGATGTGAGCGCTGAGATGCAAGTTGCAGCCACTCTAGATCACGAAGTCCTGGGACAACGACGGGCATCTCGACACTCAATTACACCGCAACTGCCACTTCACTCCAGGAGTTTAATTTATTGGAAACTATTGCTGTCTCTCAGCAAGCTCGCGGACGCCTGAATATTTCGCGGGCCTAAATATTTCTGAAGATTAAAAGTACGGTGCAGGTGAAATTTATGAGTGAGCGACTAATATACTGGGAATTTTCATTTAGTATCACGGTAAATTATCACATGCTGACAAGCATTCAATGCAAGGAAAGGTTGACGAACCTACGCAAAATTTTTGCCCGCACTTCAAAACGTCCGTCACAACCGCCTGGAGCTGGATCTTAAATCTGTGCGGTTTTAAATGTTCACGCTTCAACACTTTTCTGATGGGATTTCCTTGCAACACTCCGGATTCCATAGACCCTAGGAATCTCTGTTACATTTAGTTCTGGACTCGAGCTCAGCCTCAAAGGTCGGAACGAGGAATTTGCTTCTTGCCGCCCACTCTCAGCTGACAGTTTCTAAAGGAGGTCTTTGACGGTAAGTCACAGAGATAACGAAGCATCTTTGTGATCATGGTTTTCTATTGATTTTTTTTAGCTTGAACCTCCTAACGTTGCCGATTATTTATTTTTATTTTCAGTGGAAAATAATTAATTAGAAATTGTTAAGAAAAAATCAATAATAATAATAAATGAATATTATTCTTTATATATATTGTTTGAAAGTTTTCACTTTGTTAATGTTTTATAAGTTTTCTCAATTTCAAACATGATATTATAATCTGGATTAAAAACAATATGAAACAAGCTTTATTCTTTTAGAAATGGTAATAGTTTTGGAAGATGTGCCTAAATAAGCTCTAAATATTTTTATTCTAAAAAGATCAGTGCTGAATATATGTTTAAGTCAAACAGTCAGCAGAACTAAACTAAATTACGAAAATCTCGAAAATCATATAAGGAAGAATATACGTACGTAACATGCATCTTCGAAGAAAATCCTCCTTGAAATTAATAATCCTGCGTCATTTTATGCTGATAAAACAAAACTGAAATAAATTTTTAAGTAATTCCCCGTGAAGATTTCCTCACGGTCCATTTGTAGCTCGCAATAGCCACGGCTGCACAGAGAAGTGCATAATTAGCAGCGCTGGTAACAGGAGATGGTCGTAAGTTTTGTGGTGGCAACGTCCGTGGAGTTTTGTGTGGATGTGACTTCCTCTTGACTTAACTTAACAACGCTGGTTAGAAAAACGGCTTAAATTCTAGCCGTAGGTCTTCTCATGGCACTAATAGTGCCTCAGATCACAATGAATAGCTTCCGCTGTCGCTTTTATGTCATAAAATTGCGATTTACTTCACCAGATTCCACTTCTTATAGACATAATTTGAAAAAATTCAACGTTAGTTCACGGTTAAATTTTTCCGCTGTTGACTGAAGGGCAATGTGTGTTCATTGTCGCTCACGAATTTCTGAAAATTTCTCAGATGATAGTGAAGCAAGAGCCGCTCTAAATGTAACTTTTTTGCTAGAGTAATAAAGTATTTTCATCTCAAGCTCAAAAATGCTGTGTTTTTGGCTACCTGGACCCACAGGACGAATGCTGACCCGAGTGAGCTGGATGTCCCGCCGTGTCTGTACCGCGTCATAATTGACTTCAATTTCCTACAGGACCAGGCTGCCAGGGCCACAAATTTTATGGGCGCCGGGCATGCCTCATCAAGGCCAATTTTGAGCGGTAAAATGCATCCAACCGATGGACTGGCCAGCGATGGATGCTGGCCGTTTTAGTCGTGGCTGTCCTCCTCAGGCTGTTTATGGCACTGTCCACAAATTAAGAAAAGATGCGATAATGCCGTCCATGGCTAAGTTCAGTTTGAACGGAAAATGCTCATTATCACTATGTAAATAAAGTTATTGTGTAGTCACAGATTTAATATACCGATTTGGGAGCAAAATTTCACTGTAAATGATGGACTCTTTTTTAACAAATTTAGAACTCCAGCAACAAGTTTAGAGCTACAGCTACAAGAATAGAGCTACAGCTACAAGTTTAGAGCTACAGCTAGTAGTTCTGAGCTACAGCTACGAGCTTAGAGCTACAGATACTGGTTTAAATCTATAACAGCTACAAGTTTAGAGCTACAGCTACAAGTTTAGAGCTACAGCTACAAGTTTTATAGAGTTACAGCTACAAGTTTACAGCTGCAGCTACAAGTTTAGAGCTGCAGATACAAGTTTTGAGCTACAGCTACAAGTTTTATAGAGTTACAGCTACAAGTTTAGAGCTACAACCACAAGTTTAGAGCTACAGCTACAAGTTTAGAGCTACAGCTACAAGTTTAGAGCTACAGCTACAAGTTTAGAGCTACATCTAGCAATGCAATTCAACGACACAAAACTACTTTAATAGGTTTACTCCTCCATTTCTAACTTATTTTGATTATCTAGACTTTTATTTGTCATTTCTATTTACTGTCCCGATTTTTCATTAATTTTTAAACAGTCATTTTGGAGATGATTTTCCAAATTTTTTTAAACTGTAGAAATTCGAATTTCGGGCCAAGTCAAGTTTTTTATAATGCGTGAAAATGGGAAAAAGAGTTTCAAGTCGGGGAAAGGAAGAGCAACCTTCTTGTAACTAGATTCACGAGTCCATCTAAGAGTATATTGTAGTTTAGAAATGAAAATGAGCCTTGAAATTTTAATCTTGTCGATCATTACGATGAAACATAAGGGCGTGATTGAATTTTATTCGCCATGATAATTCACCAAAAATACTTTGTTCATAATAGTCTGAGAGATAACCTAGTGATATTGTTAATCATTCGTGCAACAGGGCGGTAAAAAAATGTCCCAAATTTGAGCTGAGAAGTCAGGTGCCACATTAGGACTATAAAAACTTTCCTTTCTGACTAAGGCTGACGCTAAACAGGACGGTCTCTCTCACTCCTAACATGCATGGCCTTCGGAAAAGCCAAACAATTTCAAGACTTCAGGAGAAATTTTTCAATCCTATCTGGGAGATAGATTTTATGCCACCATCAACTGCCACCATAAAGATATTTTTCTCTTCCGTAAGGAGATGGAGGAGGCAGCTTGGTTACCTGCTCTAATGGAGTGGCTGTCGGACACCTTGCTGCTACGACAATAATTATTTGAGGACCAGTTTCTCACCCTACAATTTTCCAACTATTCTCGAACGTCACTTTTCTGTAATTTATGGTTCCAGATTTTGTATAAATATTTGAAATTTCGTTGACTCTTGACTAATGCTTCCTTTCAGGAACTCCATAAATGTGAGTTGTGCAGGTTCAATGGAAACAAAATCTTGAAAATATTTTCAAAACTCCTTTTCATTCTTCGTGTGATAATTAAATGAACAAATCGCTCTATGAATGTATATAAATGATGAAAATATATTTTGGTTTTCATTTGGCAAAATTATTCGATGAGCATTCCCATCGAAAATAAAAACAGATCAAATGAAGGCATGCTGTAAGTAACATGCAGGATTTATGCAATGGGAGTACCAGCAACTTATCCTGTGGCCATACTTTCAAAAAATCGCTAAGTGAACGTAAGTACTTACGCTCTATTTACTTGTCCATGATTGGTGGATTTTGCTTGAAAGGCCGTCAATGATTGGTTGATGAACTTACGATGTCTTAACTTTTTTTGAAAGTATAGGCCCTGGGGCAAGTGTGCGCCAAGTCTAACACCACTGCATATTTGCCATCTAAGCCGCGGACATCCAACACTAGTCCGGATTGCAGTCACTGCACCCAATCTCTCAGATAATCTCTTATTCTGACAAGCTTGGACTTGGGCTTCATCTTGAACCATGGCCTTTACCAGCAGAGTCTTGGTCCTGCTCATGAACGTTGATGTGTGTCAGCCGGACCCTAAGTATCCGACTAGTACACTGATATGTTTACCAGGCGTCCCTAAGTCTCTCAGGGCAGAACATAAGAAGGTCAGCTGACCCCAAGTCTCAAGCTTTGGGTTAGCCTTTACGACGCCTAAAATTGTTCCACTCAAATTCATGAACCCGAAATACTTCTTAGGTCGTGGCCCAGAGTGCGCTCTTTATAGCCCCGGGTCCGAAGTTTTGTGCTTCATGAAGAGAGTTCTGTGTACCGACGTCGTCCAGTTGGCAATTAAATTCGGTTGCAAAATTAAATACTTGATGGGTATTCTGGTACTCAAAGTTCAAACTGCCCAATTAAACTCAGTTGAAATTTTGCACGTTTTATGAAGGTTTAACGTACAATTACCGCAGCAGCGCAGTTCAAAATCAACAAGTATTTATAAGTACAATTATTCTATATAGCTTGTTCTGAGTTTTTTACCTGCTTTTTCCAGTAGAACATCCAGTAGAAGACAATGGTTTTCAAAAATATGAAAACCTGTTTGTTGGTTTTGGTTTTAAGAAGCAATCGAGGTGGAACCCTTTATCATGATGGGCTTTTTTTTTCAGTGCAACACGGCAATTGCGACGAAGGCGTTTTTCGACCTGATGTTCAAGGAGCCCGTGAAGGTGATGCTCTTCGGCGCGGCGTGCACACACGTCACTGATCCCATCGCTAAAGCCTCCAAGCACTGGCGCATCACTCAGGTAATTATTATTGTAGTTACGTATTAACTACTATTACCTGTACATACCCGTAAAATATCGCAGAAGCAATCACCACAATATATTTGAAATTATTCCTTGTTAAACTCCCTGTTTTTATATTTAGGCGGTCAATATTGATGCATAGTCATTCTGCTGACAATCATTATAGACTGGCGGCTCAGATAATAAAGAGATGAACAACACAAAAACTCTGACTGAGGAATCGTGTCAAAGGAAGACGATCGATCACTCTTATCTGCCGGACAGTCAATTATTTCTATCTCTGGTAAACCAGATCACTCTGCCTGACATTCATGCATGTCTTAACTCTAATTACTGAAACTCTTTTGTATTAAAAAGTCACCTGCCAAATAATAATTTCCGGTTAAATGATTCATTGGTCGTAAGAAAATTGACCCTAAAAGTCTTTTCCATGTTCAACGTAATTAAGAGCATTTTATTAATAAGAATGGCACATGCAGGTCACGCATGTCAGATTGAAATAACCGACTTAAAAAGCAACTTCCAGCCCTTATTAGCCAGGGAAAGGCATCGTGTAGCCACGCAAAGATCGTTACTAAGCCCAGCTTGTTTGCTCATAACCAGCCAGTCGTGATGAGCAGGAAGAAAGCAGACCTGGGCCGATACTTTCAAAAAAAGTTAAGAGATCGTAAGTTCATCAGCCAATCATTGACGGCCTTTCAAGCAAAATCCACCAATCATAGACAAGAAAATAGAGCGTAAGTACTTACGTTCACTTAGCGAGTTTTGAAAGTATGGCCCTAGGTTGCGTGCGATGAGCAACTTAGCACTCTGAACTCGCCCCAGCTACCGTTAATTACCCACCATGCTACTCGACAATAACACTAAGGCGCTTCACTGGCGCAAATTAGATTTAGATGCTCTGCTGCAGGTGCACTTTTTCCAATGACAGCTGCGTGAGCGTTTGCGTGCCTGTATTCGGAACAGGAGAATAGGCAAAATAAGTTTAGAGTAACAGCAGCTGTGGGAAAATCAAAGAATTGATGTTTTTTCATCTTGTTAATGAATTATTTTTTACTGTAATTTCGTTATTATAAACTGTGCATTAAATACATGGAATTTATATGCCATTATGACATGTGATGTTGAGCCATTTTAAAGGAGGCGATTGGGCATAAAAAAGTGAATAAAGTAATGCGATTAAAAATTAAATATATTGTTTTGACTGAGTGTCATGGGTTATTAAAGCTGAGTCATGTTGATGTGTCCTGATCGTTGACATGGCAGAATGTTCGGCGGCAACGACCATCACAAACAATGCCCCGTTTATTGACGCTACAATGCAAACAAATGCTGGACAAAGCATATGATTTGAATTTATCCGACGAAATTCGGTGAAGTTGTTTGTTTTTTTTTTATGTTTTTATTTTTAACAATGATGATCGGGGGGAACGAAGTTGTGAAGAATGCTAAATAATAATGTGGTTATGATTACCTCTAGTATGTGCTCGTCTAAAATACTGCTATCACAACCAATCAAATGATTTTTGGCTATTTTTAGCGCATATTCTCATTTATGGAAAAAATGCACTAATGTGCTCGCCGTCCGTCTGTGTCCGTCTGTCTGTCCGTCCGTCTGTCTGTCCGTCCGTGACTTCACCTTTTCATCGACGAGAAAATGCGCTCTCTGTCACTCACTGCAGTGAGTACTGAGTTATATTTTTGTATATTGTATAGATACCAATATTGTATTGTTAACTCATCCATTATCTTTAAAGTTATCAACATACGCAATACGACATTTCTAATATTACGAATTTAGCACTTGACTCTCTATGCCCTGGTTTTTCCGGCAGTTGTCGTACGCGGACACGCACCCGATGTTCTCGGCCGTGAAGTATCCGAACTTCTTCAGGATGGCCCCGTCGGAGAACGAGTTCAATCTGCCACGCCTGCAGCTACTGCGAACCTTCAACTGGACGAGGATCGGCACGCTCTATCAGAACAAACCTCGGCATGCGCTGGTGAGGACTTGGTTAATGATTAAATATAGGTCACCTTCTCTACTGGTAATAATTCAGAATTGTTTATCATTGTAAAATAATTTAAAATTGGTCCTAAAGTGAAGTGCGTACAAAATGTACTGTCAACGTTTGATGTCGAGAATTTACGATTGCTGGTTTGCTGGCGAGCTTGTTTAATGTTTACAAGAAGTTTAAAGCAAGAAAACTCTTATAAATATTCGTGCGTGTATAAATATAGGAAGTTCCATTCAAATTTCATTACACTTAACAGTAAATAATAATAATAAATCTGCAGCATCATTATTAAAAATTTCATTGAGCGACGAAAAACAGAATTAAGCCAGATTTTCTCCAGACGAGTCAGGTGAAGTTAGCAAATGTTCGTCAGGTGCCTTTAACCACTCGTTGCGCGGATGCTATCGAGTCTTTATCAGTTCTTAGAGCCCACGCTCGTTTCCATGCAAATCCTGGCACCAGGAGTATGTTCTTAGAAGCAGAGAGGCCGCCCTATATAAAGACAGGACAGTCTTGTGCAATTCGCTAACAAGCCCAGAATGCGACGAGTATTCTAACGGGTATGATTGAATTTAACACAATCCTCGATCGATTGTTTGGGTTTCTGTGACATTCAATTGCTCTGCTATTACATATATAGTTTTCAGTCGTAAATATAAATATATTGAGGTGTTTTTACCGACTTACTACATTATTTAGAGTAATACATTTACATATTTACAACCGTTAAAATTTTCCTGATAACTTCGACAAATATCATTCTATGGATATAGTATGGGTTCTCACGAGCATCTATAACCACGTTTGGCTAGATGTTTCTATTGATAATGTCATATCTGACAGGTCGGAGATTCGATGCAACGCCATGCAGTTTTTAAGTTCGAAACTGAGAGAATTTGAAAATCCCGAAACACTCAAATAGAAAGAATAGAATAGAAGTGTCGGCACTGAAGAAATAGGCCCATGGCCTGTTGCAGATTCTTGAATTTTTCGTGACTTGATTCACAAGGAATCCGGCCTTTGGAACCCGATCTTTCCATAAACATGTGGAATCAACCAATTTTGTTCAACGCCTTTTATTTAACTTGAGACGAATTTTGACGACCAAAGCCGCCTGCACCAATCCTTCCGTGCCGCGAGAGCGCTAAGCGAACTGTAAAAACCCTCAAAAAGTTTGAATTTTAATGGAAAGCTCATTGTTTGAAAGACAGCATGGCAGACTCTCGTTCGACACGCCACCCACCTTTTCTCTAATTTCTCATCCAAATTATACATAATCATGCCAATTCTCACTAGCTATGCTGAGCTCGAAAAAATACTTGAGTTTTTAGTGTGAGGAGAGAAGACTACGTTTCAAGGACGAGCTCACGTGCTCGAGTGTTGAAAAAAGTGGTCCAATCACTGAATTGATCTTGGTGGTATCTTAAGATCATTGGAGCTTTTTACATGCCTAAATAAAGGGAAATAGTCAAGACCTTGATGACATTTTGAAGTGCCAATAATCAACAATGGATTTTTTTTGCGGAAAAGTATACAATTTTCTGGCACTGCTTAGTACCAGCATTCGACTAATTTAATAAATATTCTACCAAATTTTTAATTCAAAACTTGACATTCGTATTTTTATTTTTTGGGTAAAGTTTTTCTCTTCCTCGCTCGTGTGGATTATTATTTTTTTATGCTGGTGAAAATCATTCACTTTCCAAACTTCCCTTTGTAATATATTTATCTCGGAGAAAGCCTTAGACTCTGTAAACCACAGGTGGTTCTCCTCTATTTGCAGTCGCACAATCACCTGCTGAGTTTATTGGATAACATGGACGGATATGAAATCGCAGAGGCTCAATCGTTTGCCGACGAATTGAAAGATCAACTGAACAAACTTATCGAGAAAGACGTTCGAATTATATTGGGAAATTTCGATGAAGATTGGGCCAGGAGGATATTTTGTGAAGCTTACAGGAAGAAAATGTACGGCAAGAACTACCAGTGGATTATAACAGGTGAGATATTTTTAATCTATATGATGATAGAAAAAGGCTACATCTAATTTTTTAATATTATGGCCTGTTTTATTTGAATTTCATTAACAAGAAGTGAACCGAACCTATACGTTAATATAGCCTGAAGTAACTAGGTTTAAATTTTCATTAGTTAAAAGTGCATCGTAAATAAATGAAAAATCATCGTAACTCGAAAAATCAAAACTGAACTCAGCAATGAGAGTCCTAATCGTTGAGAATCCTTCTCGTAATCAATTTACATGTACAGTCAATTTAATTCAAATGTTATTTCATTTGTGTCACAGTGGCCATGACTTCGTCACGATCAGGGTCTGCTAGCAAAGAAAAAATTCAGCACATTCAATATCGTGGACCTAGACGCAAAATCTTTAGCTAAGAACACTAGGAGATTTTGAATTGGTCGGTGTGGAAGATATTAATAATTATTTTCACAAGGCAATTCTGATAATCAATATATTAATATAAATTTCTACAAATTGCGGCCAATGAACACATTTTCGAAAGTTTTAAAGTCATAAAAAAATTACCTTACAGAATTTTCAGCACCGTACAACATTTTACTTATAATGACGCAGACATGCCCAAAAGTTGTGATCCACTTCCACGATATACTGACTGTTCATCAGCAATGTAGCTCTTTCAAATCACAATTCGTTCAATAACTATTTTCTTTGGCATGAAATGACATACTTTACCTAGATAAATAGAAATATTTTCCGAACACATTCCGAACTATTTGAATGAACTCAAATTTAGGTGGTTCTATAACATGCTCGTGCAACGGTGCTGTTTACTGCTAAAAGTGACAGGAACAGGAAGTAGTTAATTTATCTTGATTGACATTTTTTTAAATTGTATTTATTACATAATTTTGATTCTGGATCTTTCTGAAAGAAATAAGCGGCCGTTTTATCAAAAATATTTCAGATTTCGTGACTCCATCAGCCAAACATTTTGGTGTTATCTATAAAATAATCATAATGACACGACTTCATCACTGACGGCTTTTCAAGCTATATATACGCGACGATCCCAAACAAGAAATTTTCCGCTACGTGAACTTAGGCCGCAACACGGACACCAATAAATTTTGTATAGCAATGCCCTGTCCTGAAATAAGAGATTCTTCTTGTGCTGTTCTCATTATTTTCTTGCATGAAAAATTAGTCTATAAAAATTACTGTTGTTAATTTCTACTGTGAAGTTCTTCTCACACTTTCCATAACGCTACTGTAATTCCTCTGCACGCCGTAACTCAACTATGCACTTGATGAAAAGTTTCGCCATTTTTACTAGTTTTTCAGTTCTGCTTGGCTTCCTTTTAAAAGTCAAGGCACAAATATGATCTTAAGCGACCATTTTGTTATGTTTTGCAGTGCGCATTTATTTGGGGTATAATCTCCAAGTAAATTTTTGTAACGAAAAAAATTCGATCAGTACGCACTGCAGTGAGTGACAGACAGCGCATTTTCTCATCGACAAAACGTGAAGTCACGGACAGCCAGACGGCTGTCCGTGACATCATCTAATAACATTACATTACATTGCATCATCTAATAACAATAACATTATATACTGTCATCTTGTACTCACTTGAAATTTGGGCAAGATTTACATTAGGTATGTCAGTAATCAAGTATTATTCTCGAAGCATTTTCCAGTGAGGAAAGAAACATCTCTTCTAACGGACGGCAACGTAAAAGACGCTTGTTCGCCTGTAACGAATAATGGTGGCAAAAATGGTCAATTGTGTAAATATATATGGCTATAGTTGGTGAGGTACTTATTAAGAATATTAGATTTTGAATCTTTAGTGTTCGATAGTGGCCTGGTAATTAACCTGAATGTAGCTAGGCTGATTTTAGTGTGACATTTTGATTAAGCCATGAAGAAAGTGTGACGTGAAACACATGATTTTAAACATCCCAACTGTTCTGCACAGAAATATACCTAGCTACAGCTGCTGAATAACAAATGAATGACATGTTGGCGCACGCTAATTGCATTGTAAAACATATAAAAACTTTACGTGTTTTTACGCTGTTACGTTGTTTACTAAAATACGCTGTTTTGTTTATTAGATTCTACTATGTTAAAAGAATAATTCGCGTACGTAGACCATATATAGTAAATACATACACACAGCGGATCTGAATGTTTTGGGTGTGTGTTAATTAACAAAAATGGACCAAAATATGTGGTAACTGAATTGAGAGAGTGAGAACGTAAGAGGAGGACGTAAAAAATAGCTTGAATGTTCAAATTGACTCGTTTCGAGGAATAAAATTGCAATTTGAATAAAAAAAATTAGGGAAATGTGGAGGGAATGATATAATAAAGTGATGTGACACAACTTGATTTGGTGCATACAAGAATCGAAAAAAAACACTGGCGTTTCAATTTGCGGTATGAAAAATGTTCATTCTAAAAAATAAATAGATGTACAACGGTGCGGAGAGAGCTACAAGGTATTAATGTGTGTGGCATGTGTGTATGTGAGTAATATGTGTGAGTATGTGTGGCATGTGCGAATGCTGGAGAGAAGACACGTAGAATGAGAGGAGAGTAAACGATAGAATGCTAAACACACAGAAATTTACCACAGTTTATAGAAAACGTTTCGGAGTCCAGCTCCATCGTCATTTCGAAATTCTAGAATGTTCAAACTGACGATTGAGTCCGAAATGTTTTCTGGAAATAAATGGTGGATTTCCCTAAAGTTTTAATTACCTTCAAATTTTTATTGAAATTGCGATTTAAATATATGAATGACATAATACTTAAGAGTAGACATGAATGAGAAGAGGTGTAAACAAAACTGCCGAGAACTTGTCAATGAACTGCGATATGAAAGAGAGATAAAGATAGCAGATTTTGGAGAGGATCCTAAATGAGGAGAATGGGTGAGAGTGATAAAGAGAAAAGAATGAAGAACTCACAATTCTTACTGGTTCGTTCTTTGAAAAGATAGTGGCTATGATTGTGAGTGAAAATTGATGTTTGTATAATTGATAGAATATAAGAGAGTAGAAGAGATTGGTAGCGGTGGAAGTTAGGTAGGGCTAAAAATATGTACAAAGGAGCACCACGAGATAATCAAAATTCTTGGGAGCATTGGCTTCTATCGAATTTGTCAATATACTATTGTTGCTGTAGTGTGGTAATTGGTCGATGTATTGGGTCAAACGCAATTGTTCTCGCCCCTATATTAGTATTGCCATGCAGAACCGCAACAGTCTGTAGGAAAGGCTTCATGTTGCAGAAACTCTATTTTCGTTTATTTTGCTTCGGGTGAGGCGGCTCAGGATTTCAAGTCAATTCTCTTATTGAATTTAATTGCCAACTGAGAGTCTTGACCTTTAGACGATAGACAATACGAAATATAAGCGTAAGACAATAGGACTTTTAGACAATACGGAATATAAGCGTAATGTAAAATTTTAAAAAGTGGCATGTTTTTGATCCATGTACGAGAATTTGACAATAGTCAGATCACGAATAGTGCAATGAAAAATAATAAATTCTCATCGGATCCCAGCTACTGAATACAAGAACTCTATCAACTAAGCATAATCGTTTTTTGTTGAACCTAATACCTTTCTTCCTCCTAATTCCCCTCTCAATCTGATTTACGAGTACCCCCACAAAAAAGTGCTAGAAATAAAAGTGAGCCTCTGGAATTTAAGTACCTAACAAGGACTACTACACACAGGACATGCATAGCCTATGTCCAGCCTCTGCTAGCAGAGGCGATCGCCTACACTATGAAAATGCTGGTGTTTTAGTGGCATCAACAAATGATATGCCCATAATTGTTTCATACAATAGTATTACAATGTGTGTAGTAGTCCTTGTATTGTAATACTATTGTATGAAACAATTATGGGCATATCATTTGTTGATGCCACTAAAACAACAGCATTTTCATAGTGTAGGCGATCGCCTCTGCTAGCAGAGGCTGGACATAGGCTATGCATGTCCTGTGTGTAGTAGTCCTTGGTACCTAAAGAAGTAGCCACCTCACCGCTCATCAGGTTCACGACTGCAAATTTAACTTGCAGTCTCGTTCTGAGCTCGTTCTCATATAGACATGAACGATGCAATTTTGGTGATAAATTTGCATCGTATGAGAGATGCACTTGCTCAAAATAGGGGCGGCACTGGAAGTTAAAATTAGATCTAAAACTAAGGAGCAACTTAAGGCGGGACACCAACCAGCTTCTCTTGTTCTGATGATATCTGCACATGCAAGCCTTTGCTTCAGATTAAATTGAGCTCGAGGTCTTGCCGCCAAACTCTCTGAAATTTAATTAGAAGAGTGCCTCAATATTAAAATGTACAGATGACATGGTCCTCGAATGTGTAAGCAGGGGAATTTATGCCCGTTGGGATAAGGGGTGAAATCCATCAACAAGATTGTTATCTAGGCTCTTGGGTCCAAGTTTTGATCAAGAAATTTGCCGATAATATATTTGCTGGTAATAAGAAATTAATTCTTTTTCGCATTCGTTTTGAATCTTTCGTAGTCTTCCAAACGTATCTTGTACCCGCAATTGTGTATATGACTCACATTTTTATGTGCATTTTTCCGTGTGTGTCGACGAAGTTATCATTTTAGCATCATTGTCCAATGCTAAATGCATAACGTATTCTGTCTAAAGGCGGAATTGCACGAGCTGATCTTTTTATGTATCGTCTTTATTTCATTTAAGCACATGAAGTGTCTCGCTTGACGCGCCAGAAACATGGTATTGCATTTCTTATTGGCCGTCACACCGGCAGTTTGTGACAAATTCCAGCGTGTCGTTTAAATTTTTATCACAGCTGCCAGCCTCGCAGGCAGGAAAAGACTTTGAACTGTTTTGCAACCATCTTTAAATCAAATTTAGATCAAAGATTTCAATGGAACCGAATACCTGGAATTTGACGTGAACGTATGATGCAAGCAGCTACGTAATGATATTTCAAAATATCATCAATTCCAGTAGCGTTAGAAAATAACGTCTTGACACGGATTCCAGCACGTAGACACTGAAGCATGCTGAATTAAATGTTGTCATTCTTTAATCATTTTGGTCACAACTTCAATGAGTTTTCCACTCGACCAATTACTGGCGTTACTCAAGTCAACAGACTTGGTAGTCGAGGGAGGGGACGAAGACTCAATTCTAAATAATTTATAATTGAGCCTTCAATTATAAATTATTATACTCAATCAAGGGTAAATCCTTGTTCTCACTTATTCTGTTTCTCTTGTTCTCAATTACTATACTCAATAATTATTCTTAAACTCAACTTGGTTCCAAAAAGTACCAAATTATTTTGTAAAATATCTATTCGAAGCGAATAAGAAATCTTTTTTGAAGAATAAAATCGCATGCGTGAAATAAAACATTAATTGGTTAGATAACTATCAAATGCTAAGTTTCCACTTTTTCAGAATCGACGAGGAATTTTTTGAGATTCGATGATCACATTAAAATGGTAACGCTGCCAAGTAATAAAAACTACAAGTCTAGTATCACACCAGCAATCGTAGACTTGATTTCCTGGTTTATTTGATGTTCACGAGTACGAGGAGGAGGGTTGGGAATTAGGTTCAGAAAACATTCTTTTGGTTTTGCTTCTTACTCCGTGGTTGGATGCAGGGCGTGAGGCTGAATCCCAATGACAGCATCTGCAGTCTGGTTGGGTTGCGTCGCCAAGCCCCTGAGATGTGTCGCAAGCGCACACCATTTATTTGATGTTACCTGGGTGCTTCATATAACCCCTGTTGCTCCTTCTTCCATTGCTCTTCTTTTTCGTTCATCCTTTTGAAACGTTATGTGCAAAAATTTTTCGTTTCGCGAAAATTATTTTAAAATATATTTTTAAAATTCAGTATATTGCCACATTAGATCGTTTGGGCTGCTTTTCCCATAGTTCAAATCGTAGTGCAAGTATATCGTTGATACATACAGTATTACTTAATACGAGAGTTGATCAGCTTCAAATTTTGGTTAAAACTAAAATACATCGACTTCATATTTTAATTAAAGCTAGAGTATATCGGCTTTCTAAATTTTAGTTTAAACGAGAATTTATTGGCCTAACATTTTAGTTTTAACGAGAGTTCATCGGTTTAAAATTTTAGTTTAAGCAAAAATTTATCTGCATCTTATTCTCTGCGCGTTATTGAATACCATGGTGATTAAATAAATTTCCCAAATATGACCGTACGAGTATCAGTAGACCCCGTATGCCGAGGAAAGAAGTTGGTCGTCCCACGTCCCGTATGCTGCGCTTCCTGAGTGCCGCATTCTTCTGCGTAATGATGACCGTAAATTGCCCGCTCGATTGCCGGCCCTGATCTGCGCTGAGCGACTCGCGCCTTCAACTCGACTATGAAATTTGGCAAACTCGCGCGAACTGAATCACGAAAAAGCCTGATGAATGAAGATGATGAAAATACACAAAACTGTAAAATACCTGTTCGCATAAAATCACTCAAAGAACACTGGAATAACGAATTAATATATATAACTCTCGTTTCTACCCTAAGTTATAATGGCATTTTGAGTATTTTTTTTTAATAAATTCACATTCCCTAATTAACTTAATAATATTAATCTTTACTATCGTAACTATTCAAATATGTCCAAGTAAGTCTAGATATAATCCGTTTCCTTTTTCAATGTTCCAATCATTATATGTTCGCCCTCCACAGCAACTAATTAAATTATTCAGCAAATTCTAGCAAATTTCAATCTTGCCAAAGATATCCAAAAGTTGGTTGCCATTCCTTTATCCTGAACTCCATGAAAACTTCCCTTTGAAAACAGTAGATTTCAAAGTTCCTCTTTGATTTCGACTCTCATCAACGACTGAGGACAACGACGTTGAAAATTCTTGGTATTTTAGCAGAAGTTTATAAGGCCACGGGAGGTGCGGCGGCGACAGCGACAAGATACGCGATGGAATTAATCTTAACGACAATCATGAGCCGTTAATTCTCATCTCATCCCTTATATAATAAAATTCGTTCTCTGGAGCCTATTTATACTGAGCTCGCGTTAGACTGTGACTGAAAGACTAAGCTGAAATTGTTTAAGATTGTTCTCGAAATATTATTGAATTTCATCACTAGAAGTTTCCAACTTAGTTTAATAACTTTGAAAATCGTACAAGCCTTGCATGAGTTTTTACTTGATTGCATGAAGTACGAGAACGTGAACCTTCTTAGTTTTCCTCCCTCATCAATTTCCATTTCCTGCGCCAGGAATGTACCGAGAGGAGTGGTGGGCTTTGGACGAAGAAGTTCACGGACCGCAGGAGAGGGAGACGCACGAGACTACCGTCAATCCTGGCGGTCACCAGAGTCTGCCCAACGACACCGAGGGCAAGTGTGCCGTTGAGGAGATCATGGCTGCCCTCGAGGGTTGCATCATGACTGACCTCTTACCCATATCGTCCCACGACCGACCTACCGTATCCGGCAAGGTGAGTCACTTTTAACATCGTCCCATGACCAACCCACCGTATCCGGCAAGGTGAGTCACATTTATCATCGTGTCTTGACCAACCCACCGTGTCCGGCAAGGTGAGTCACATTTATCATCGTCCCTTGACCAACCCACCGTGTCCGGCAAGGTGAGTCACATTTATCATCGTCCCTTGACCAACCCACCGTGTCCGGCAAGGTGAGTCACTTCCAACATCGCCCCATGACCGACCCACCGTGTACGGCAAGGTGAGTCACTTCCAACATCGCCCCATGACCGACCCACAGTGTCCGGCAAGGTGAGTCACTTCCAACATCGTCCCATGACCGACCCACCGTGTCTGGAAAGGTGCATCACTTCCAACATCGTCCCTTGACCGACTCAAAGTGTCCGGTAAGGAGAGTTCCTCCCTATACATCATTCCATAACCGACCCACCGTGTCCGGCAACCAGTCGGCAACCCACCATTTCTGGCAAAGTGTGTCTCTCTTAACATCATCTCGTGACCGACCCACCGTTTCTGACAGGTGGGTTATTCCTAACATCAATCCACGATTATCTGTCCACAGCATGATGAGTCGCTATTTATACTTCTGATGACTCTGCTGCCGTATCCGACAAGACAAGTCACCACTAATATTATATCTTGATTGACCAATCGCTCGTGTTCCGCGAGGTGAAATGCTGCACATAAAGTATAATTATCGACTAGTGGGGGAATATTCCACTGAAATTCTAATTTCAATAAAATGGTTATGAATAGTTTTACGCTCATTTTTATTCTTTCCTGTGCTAATTTTGATTTGCTTTTGATTTGTTTGTGTTCGATGATTAGTCTTCATTTATAAAGAATCGTGGAATGATGTGTAGCAGGTTTCTTTTTACTTGACTTTCAAAGAAAATGAGGCACTCTCATAAAATACAGAGGATTTAAAAAAATGTCCGTCATCGAGAAAACAATTAGGCTCAGGACTCATCTTCAGGCATTATTTTTTTGCAATGCGCACTCAATGTTTTCAGAATACAAACCTCAAAGATCTTATAGATCCAAATTTAGCTCACACGACAGCTGAGTCTGGACGGGGCTTTCATGCGTGGTTCCAATAGCGCTCCACTTGCCTGGAACTCTCCCGCACACTCATCCTCCGGAGCCTCATAAAGTTCATTCAACCAAGCCGCCAAAACTCCTTACAGGGAAAAATTGTGATTGCCGAGCCCGCATCTTTTTGCACGCAAGAAGATGAAAGAAAACAAATCTTGTTGTCTAAGCAAGCAACGTCAACAAGAGAGGCTGTGCTGCCTTAGACCTAACTTTCTACAAGATGACGCTCGGCATTGAAACTTCAGAATCTTTTCAACATAGAATAAACTGACGACTCCAATCAGCGTTTTCGTATTAAATTGCCGTGTTCTCTAATGATGGGCCCTCTTTTGAGAATCCGATATTTTACCAACGAAAAGCGATGTTTGCGCTTCATCGGATAAATGTTCTGCTCATTTTTATTTAATTTTTTTGGGTTACTCGAAAATAATTGTCATCACATTTGTTAGTTTAAAACTGCCTGTAAACTGTAAAAAGACACACATTATTCGTCAACAAAATTGAAGACTAATTGAAGTATATTAATAATTGAACACTTATGAGTAGGTATACTAGCGATCCCATAACCACAGTTTGCATTAACACCGTAAATCACAGGTTACCGACCATTTACCCACAATATTATTTCTAAACTTGGACATCAAAAATTCGATCACTGTCCTCCGATCAAAATCCTGATAATTTACTTATGATTAACCATGCACTTTTTAACCGAGAACCCGGTACTTGACCTAGTGTCACGATTGGAGATAGTTCTGTGGGAAATATAATCGATTTAGATTTTTGAAATATTTTCCAGAACCTGGCACTCATCATTATTGATCACCACAAAACTTTGTGTTGTTACTTTAACTCTTCTTGTGGTGAAATTATGCCTTATTGGTTCATTTAAAGTGCATGTTTTCTGTAATTGCAACCAATTAATGATTTGCTCTCGAGGTCCACCACTCATACGATAAATTTCTTTCTTCCCCATGTAGCCGGTTTTAGGACTGTAAAAAAATTTACTCATTTCAGTGTGTGGGCTTTTACATTCTTTTATACTCCAAGACCTACATTAATTTTTCCAGCCATCATAGCATTGTGTAATTTTTCATCCGTTCCAACATATTTATTCTCATTAGGATCTATCGCAATTTCAGCCGCTTTTTCGCTTGGATCCCAGAATTCGCTAGGATCTATCGCATTTTCAGCCGCTTTGCACTTAGAAGCCAGGAGAAGGCTCACAGAAGGAGTAGGTATAGTATAGTAGTATAGTATCTTCGGCATTAAAGAATAGGCCTGGATAGGCCTGTTCACATTATTAGGTATGCTTATTATTGGAAGAACAATTGGGAAATTGCTCATATTTAAAGTTGGAGGATAGTTTTAAATGCATTTCTGGCAGTGGTAATTTCCTTAAAATCGTTTGAAAAGCCACTACCACTTTTCTCATAACGAATAATGATTTCAATTGGTTTAAATATTCACTATTATCGATTGATCGTAGCTCAGGATAGTTCATTGATGCGCTTTTATTGTAGACTATCATTTTTATTAGGTTACTTTACTGAGCACTTCTAGAAGACTCGTACTCGATCCAAAAATATAAAATTTTTCTAATGTGCTTTTTTTCTATATGAAATGAGAGCTCATGAATCATCTAATGTAACTAATGTGGAAAAATGCACCTTGAATACAAAAACTCTTCGAAATAATTTTTTAAGGAAAATGAGAGTCTAACAATCATCTAATGTAAGTCATGCAAAAAAATCATACATTTAATGCGAAAACCCTTTGGACACATTTATTTCAGTAAAATGGCAGCAAATATTGTCAGCATGAATCATTGTGAAGTTTTTAACGTAGTTAAAAAGATAAACAAACGTATAAAAACTCACAGCTATCGTAAAGCAATTATAATTAACGCATTACAAATGAGTACTTTAATTCAAGGACATAACGTGTAATATGCGATTGCAAAGTTCAAAAAAGTTTAGCCATGGTAATTACGTTTGATATGGAAAATCAATTATTAGTTGGCTAGTTCTATGATTAATGCAACTTTTCCCGTTAAATATTGCACAGGAGCAAAAATACGTAACCAGTTAGTTCAACTTACGGATACAGTAGACTGGTAGAAATAGACGAGAATTGTGAGTTGTCGGGCGTAAATGGGAGTTTCAGAAAATTCCAGGGTTTAAATTGCGAGTTACTCAGGGCCATTCACTCTCCTATCACGAGGCCGTGTAATCACCTTGTTGCAGGTGCCGGTCCCTGCACACAAACGCCTTCGCTTTTTAGATGGTCTTCTTCATACATAAGCGAGTGACTTAAAGGTCACTCGCACATACTTTCAATATATGAAACATACTCAACGAGTTTCGATCTTGGATACGGTCATGCAGACCGGTTGATCACCTGAATGCTCACTGAACGCTTGTGAATGACGCTCTGGTGCTGATGTTGCTTGCCTACTATGATGCTCAGCAGTGCAAATTACATCGAATCTTACGTGTGATAACATTCCATTCTCTTTCACACTTACTCAAGTGTGTCATGTGAGAGTGATGACAGCTCTGTATGGATGCAATATGTTTAGGGCTCGCTGAAGCCCCGAGTTCTCAATTAAAAAAGTGCATGGTCAATCAGAAGTAAATGATCAGGTTTTTGATCGGGGGACAGTGATCAAATTTTTGATGGCCGAGATTCGAGGTAAAATTGTGGGTAAATGATTGGTAACCTGTGATTTAATCTGTGTATGCAGAATGTGAAGATGAGCTCGCTTTTCTTCCTACTCTTATGCCTTTTAATCTGCAATTTAGTGATTATGCAGGGGGAAATTTAATAAAGAGCGAAAACAATATTTCATCATCTCTCATGAAATCCCGTCTAGCAGCCGCATCAAAAATCTAAATAAAGATCATGTATAGCTAGGCACCGTCCTATGCTGTGGTATTTGTACTCGTAAGTATGCGTATTATTGCGCAATGAGATTGCCTGCTGCTATGCTGAGAATGTTCTTCTCACGAATGCCTGGCGGCACTAACACTTCATTGATTCTCATAGAAGCGATTGAGATGCAAATGCTGGCCGAGACTATGCGGAACTCGACGTTGCAGCAGTTGGGACGGCAGTTTCTATTCCATGAGTAGCTTCATGCGTTCATTTGGCCCGGAGCAAGACGATTAGAAGAAACGCGCATTACTGAACTTGTCGCATTCTACTATTTTCTGCTTTTTAGCGATAGTCCAAGTCGACTACGTTCGCCTGTGTGCGCTACAAATACATTATACAATGCAAATTTTAGAGGAACTTCCTGCTTAAACGAGACGGTCTATGGAAATACTTTTCCTTTTCGTTGGACGCGAATGAATTATTTGAGAACAAATTTGTGTTGAGCTCAACTTTGTAGAGTGATATTCTTTTTAAGCACAATGTAATCAGTTTTCGATCATTTGTTTTTATTCGCACATTTCTATAAACAAACTGGCTTGTGTGATACCTGAATTTTTACCAAATTGAACGACAAAGATTAGATCACTTGTATGGCAAAATGACGCTGGTTTGGCATCTTTTCTAGACTTAGATTCGGAACTTTGCTTTCATTTAAAGTCTATATTTAATTTTTTTACTGTATGGAATCACATTTGACCTGCTGACAAAATAATGCATCTAAACAAACAAACTTCGCGCCTTCCTCTTCTTACCCCCTCGGTTCATGAGAGTTAATGCCATTTAGCCTACGCAGAGGAAATGCTCAGATCTAATTTACGAATCAATGAGCATTATTTGTCAACTATTATTTTCCTCCAATTCAGGTCTTTTTGGATCGTTCGAACAATCAAGGCTACGTCGGTTTCCATTCGAGTAATTGATGATTGTAGTGCCGGAAAGACAATAATAATTGTCTGAGGTTGATGGCGCAGCAGACCGACTCGGGTTATTTTCAAAGAGCTTCAATTAATCATACCTTTTGGGGCGGGCCTGAAATTATGGTTCCTTGCAGAGGCTGTCCGTCTGTGCCGTGAGAGGCAATCGACTACTTCTTGTGTTACGGCAGTTCAGCTAGCGAGCCTCTCACCACTTTACTTGTTCTTCTTTCTGCTACTTGTGTTACGGCAGTTCAGCTAGCGAGCCTCGCACCACTTTACTTGTTCTACTTTCTGCTACTTGTGTTACAGCAGTTCAGCTAGCGAGCCTCGCACCACTTTACTTGTTCTACTTTCTGCTACTTGTGTTACTAGCGAGCCTCTCACCACTTTACTTGCTCTACTTACTGCTACTTCTGTTACGGCAGTTCAGCTAGCGAGCCTCTCACCACTTTACTTGCTCTACTTTCTGCTACTTCTGTTACGGCAGTTCAGCTAGCGAGCCTCTCACCACTTTACTTGCTCTACTTTCTGCTACTTCTGTTACGGCAGTTCAGCTAGCGACCCTCTCACCACTTAATATACTTGCTCTACTTTCCGCTACTTGTGTTACGGCCAGGCTTCGTCTTCGAGACTCTGCAGTTTTACAACGCAATTAAATAAGTTAGGAATGCTTCTTGAAGTACTTTAAGGCAAATAAATATATTTTATTCGTTTTAAAAATTGATTGAAAAGAAAAGGCGAATATGTGTCGTAGTAAATTTTATAGAGTGTGCTGTTGCAGATTTGTAGAAATTTACAAGTGAAAAAATCATGTCTATTCTATTTTTCACTTTAATGAACCGTTATTATATTAGCAATTGTTATTATATGAAAGGGATTATTATGCATCAGTGATTCTCTGTAATGAAGAGCATTGGCTTGACAAAAAAAAAAATCTTGCATAAGTCGGCATTGACTTGTTCACTTCGAATTAGATAACTAATATTCACGAAAATACGACAGTTAGACAGACATATGTTAATCAAAAGATTCCTGCTAGTCTGGAAGATTGTACACAATTCTTTTCTAGCTTTTCAATTTCTTGTAATTCAAAGTATAGTTCAATAATTTGGAGTTGAATGTTTTCAAGTTTTCGCTCCATAGCAACGTCTCAACTGATAAAAGCCAGCATCCGGAAAAGCGCTAGGTTCTCAGACCAGTTTCCAGAAACGAGGGCAATCAACTTTGTAATGAACTCTCATTGCTTAAGTTCATTTAGAAGATGTTGGAAGAGACGGTTCCCTCAGAAACACCGTTTCCACTATTGTCTGAAATTGTATTATAAATCCACGAACGCTGCGCTTTCCTGATATCTCCGGCCTCAGCAATATGCCAATCCGATGCGATGTATTGTTTGCACTGAGCACCAACGAGAGCCGATCCAAAGGCCTACTTCATTTGACATGGTCGTGGCTTTCTGAGCTTCTGGAAACCTGAAGACTTATTTAGCTCAGGTATACAGATAATTTCTTTTTACCCCCAAAAAATAGCAACGTATCTGATGAATTTTAACTTCAAGGAGAGTGAATAATCTTTTATCGTGAGTATATTATTTAGCTCTACTAATAACTGTTTTCATCTAAGAAATATACCTACATAGCCCGCATCTTTCTTACATAAGCGAGTCAAGAAGGGCTGCGAGCCAATTATTTCTATTTCCATTGGAGAAATTCTCTTGGTTAAGGAACGTTTCCTTTAACGTTAAACTTTCCGGAACGGATTTTTGGCGTCAAACGAGGTTCTACTGTACTAATGAATTCGCCACCTTATTACTCGGCACCGACATCATATTACACCGGACTATGAGCCCAGCAGAGCGACAGAGTTGCAGCGGCACATCGTGAATAAGAGTTGTCGTCTCATGCAGAGCGACAGAGTTTCTGCGGATCACTATAAAATATAAATGAAAGCTATCAGCTCCTGCAGAGCGACAGAGTTGCAGCGGCGCATCATGAATAAGAGTTGTCGTCTCCTCCAGAGCGACAGAGTTTCTGCGGATCACTATAAATGAAAGCTATCAGCTCCTGCAGAGCGACAGAGTTGCAGCGGCACATCATGAATAAGAGTTGTCGTCTCATGCAGAGCGACAGAGTTTCTGCGGATCACTATAAAATATAAATGAAAGCTATCAGCTCCTACAGAGCGACAGAGTCGCAGCACCTCGATCGTCAAACAGGCTCAAACTCTGCCTGTAGTGCATATTCGATAGGAGTGCAGCTCTCGTTTCCTTGCGTTCACGGTTACATTTCTTAGCACTCAGAAGCCCAATAATATAAAATAAAATGAAATTTAAAGGTTTTAACATTTGGGACTAAGTTTTACAAACGCTATTATATCATGCATTAATTGAAGTAAATGAAAAAAATTTAAAGCGAAATATCTTTTTGAATTTATTTCGAAGCTTCAAATCCATGGATATAATTGTTTGATATCTGAAATTACGCATAGTATTTTTCCTGTCATGTTAGCTTATATCGCAAGTATTGAAGCTCCTGGTAAAACGCATCTTCGGGTTATAGCAATGATCTATTGTCTCGCTCTCTCTCTCCTGCAATAACAATCCCTAATTAGCGTCACATGGTAGATTGCCTTTGGGCCAAAGGGATAATGGGCGACAAATAGGCGAGTGTTTGCTTCGATGCTCTGAGCGCTGCGTGGTCATGGCGCGCATATAACGCCTCTTTATTCTTCGATCCGTAAAACGAAACTATCTAAAATGAGCGATCTTTTAAGAGAATGTTGATAATGAAGATCAATAAACTGCGTATTTGTTCAATAAGGTTGGGATTCGTGTTTAATCAGGGTTATTTGAGCGACGAGGCTCCAATTAAAGTGTCGAGCCAAGATCGATGCGGTCTGACTGGCTTCGATGTTATGACACTGAACCACGCGTATGAAATCTGAGTCGCCCGCCAGTGCTACTACAAGTTCAGACTAAATCTTATTAGGGAATATTTTCATAAACGCTCTAAAACCAAAAATATTTTTTTAGAAGATGACATAATTTACCGGATAAAACATGATTCTTTTCGAAAAAATTTTCTTCTGTGTTTTTTTATAGAATCTTTATTAATTATTCCCTAATTTTGATTTACTTAAACATGAAATACGAGCAACAGACGCAATATGTTCGGATCACATTATACTGAGCACTAAGGTCTCTTTTCTACTTTTCTCACATTATACTGAGAACTGAGGTCTCATTAATCGAGCTGAGACTGGAGCCGAGAAAACTCAATTATTTAATCAGATTTGATAAAATCTAGAAGCGCTACATGTTTGCGTAATTGCAATTTCGCTCTCCATCAAGTCTGTCGAGCCGGAAATTCAGTTAGCACTCTGGCTATTTCAGTTCCTGAATGATTGCCCGGTAGATGTGATTTACATTTGAATCGGATTAGTGGCTAGTGAACTATTAAGACAAGGAGACCATACCGCTTTGCATCGAGCTGGGGGCTATAGATTGCGTTGCCATGGCTTATGTCTCTATTGCCTGGCATAGTCTAGATTAATTGTTCTATTTGTGCTTTGCTTTGGAGATGTAACGGCAAGGCGACAATTGCACTGGAAGATGCTGCGTCATAGGAGATATCGAAAAAATTGAAAAATGCCGTGCATTGGAATAAAACTTCTCAAGACTGGCCTTATATTATTAAAATTTCTTAATGCTGCTACCACACGGCAGTACTTTCCCTTTCTACAATTCGTGACTTAATTATTAGTTTTCCACTCAATATTTTACACTTCAATGAACTATACGTACTCTCAAGATGTTGCATAACTTCTTGCACTACGAATGATTATTCTAAGGAGTAATACCAAACCGATCGAGATGCTTATCGTATTATATAAGTTTACTGAAGTATCATACATGTTTGTGCAGAATGTGTCGCAGTACGAGAGTGAATACAACGCTGTGAGGAAGGATCAGTACTCTCGCTTCCATGCGTACACGTACGACGGTGTGTGGAGTCTGGCGCTGGCCATACAAGCGGTGGGGCACAAACTGCACCGCATGAACCATAAGAACAAGACATACAGAACTGTCCAGGACTTCAGGTAACTCGTTTAAAACCATCAAAAATGTCTATTAACGTAAAATTAATTATTTATTGACGAGTTCATTCAAATAACACATTCTGGATGTGTGATTTTCAGAATTTCAAGGTCTCATTAATTTTTTAAGTAAATCAAGTGTATGTTAGTAGAAGTAAGCTAATAAACGTCGATGAAATCGTAAATGACATTCTATTAATAAACATTGTTGCAGCATCATTTGAATAACTAAAATTAAGTACGACTGAAGCTTGAAATGAAGTTGACTAAACTGAAGCTGATTCCAGCTTTAAAATGAAGTACGACACCAAATGAAGTGTGACTCCAGCTTGACTAAACATTCAGTTGATTTATTATTAAGTTTATTTATAATTATCATAAGTTATTTCGGTACCCCACAAGGACCCTCAACTCACGCGGACCGTTCCCTCCTCAGGTACCGCGATTATTAATTTTATTTACAATTATTATAAGTTATTTCGGTACCCACATGGACCCTCCACTCACGCGGACCGTTCCTTCCTCAGGTATCGCAATTATTAAGTTTATTTACAATTATTATAAGTTATTTAGGTACCCCACATGGACCCTCCACTCACGCGGTCCGTTCCCTCCTCAGGTACCGTGATTATTAAGTTTATTTACCATTATTATAAGTTATTTCGGTACCCACAAGAACTCTCCACTCACACGGTCCGTTCCCTCCTCAGGTACCGCGATTATTAAGTTTATTTACAATTAATATAAGTTATTTCGGTACCCCACAATGACCCTCCACTCACGCGGACCGTTCCCTCCTCAGGTACCGCGATTATTAGGTTTATTTACAATTATTATAAGTTATTTCGGTACCCCACAAGGACCCTCCACTCACGCGGACCATTCCCTCCTCAGGTACCGCGATTATTAAGTTTATTTACCATTATTATAAGTTATTTTGGTACCCACAAGAACTCTCTACTCACGCGGACCGTTCCCTCCTCAGGTACCGCGATCCCATCTGGGAGACGCTGTTCCGGGAGGCGCTCTCTGAGGTGCACTTCGAGGGCGTCACGGTGAGGCTCGTTATCTTATTTAGAATTTAATAAATGCGTGGCATCTCTGCATGACGTGGATTTGCCTTTTTGCATTTTAATTTCGTTCAAATTTTTAATTAACGACTTGGAAGAGTTGAAGCAATGTAATTTTGATCACAATTTGTGATAAGGCAAATTTTTATTTTATTTTATTGCATTCTCATTTCGTCGAAAATTTTCATCCAAGTTCAGTAAGCATTTAGATGGTATTTATACATATAAAACAACTTGAATGTTCTATGCTATAGGCATTTGTGTCATGACCATCGCCAGTTAGGACTTTTCGTCCTTCTAGATCTATGGTAACCAGTGCAGGACATGTATATCAGATTCTATGTCTCAACGATGCAGATAATGACTTTATCTCAGTCTTAATAATAACGCACAATTTTTCATTGTTAGGGGCCAGTACAGTTCACTGAAGACAACACACGTGAAGGCTACATCCTCCTGAAGCAGTTCCAAGGTGAGTGATAATAGCTGTATCTCCTCAAAAATTAAAGAAACTCGATGAAATAAATATTTGAACCTCTATAGAACACATCAATACAGCGGCACACAGCTAGCTGGGTGTCGCTGGTCAATGATGTTGAAGGGAGTCTGACGCAAACAAATATCCTGTGATATTTCCTGTAATTCCTTCGAAGATATTCAACGCTGTCCTCCTCCTTCCCATTGGAATGCATGAGTATCGATTTTGATCCATCAGGGAGTCTGGAAAAAATTTTATCATATACGTAAAATGGTCAACTAAGATCTCACAAGAATGGTTGTGAACCTTGGTTCACCTGAAATTTGTACCTATGAACATCAGTTCAAAAGTTATGCCGTATATGACTCGAGCATTACTACACACCTCCCCGTTTGTATGTCAGGTAATCGTAACTTGTTATAATACATAGTAATGTTATATTTTTTCATTCTTAGGTAATGGTGAATTTATTCGCTGTTTTCCTTGCTTTTAAATTCTTGATCAACTTGCGATTTAAGCAATCAAGTGCTTTTAATACATAGTAACGTTCTCTTGTATGCGATGTCGTGCTGCGGTCCCAATAGGTGTGTTGCCGCTAGGTCGTGGAAGTACCTATACTTACTCACCACAGTTTATTAGCTATGCCATATATGAATCGAGCATTACTACACATCTCCCTATTTATATATCAGGTAATCGTAACTTGTTATCATACTTAGTAACGTTCTCTTGTATGCGATGTTGTGCGGTGGTCCCAGTAGTAGCGCTAGGTGGTGGAAGTACCTATACTTACTCACCACAGTTTAATAGCAATGCCATACATGAATCGAGCATTTCTACCCATCTTCCTGTTTATATATCAGGTAATCGTAACTTGTTATCATACTTAGTAACGTTCTCTTGTATGCGATGTCGTGCGGCGGTTCCAGTAGGTGTGTCAGAGCTAGGTCGTGGAAGTACCTATACTCACCACAGTTTAATTGCTATGCCATATATGAATCGAGCATTACTACACATCTCCCTGTTTATATATCAGGTAATCGTAACTTGTTATCATACTTAGTAACGTCCTCTTGTATGCGTTGTTGTGCGGTGGTCCCAGTAGTGTTGTGCGGTGGTCCCAGTAGTGTTGTGCGGTGGTCCCAGTAGTGTTGTGCGGTGGTCCCAGTAGTGTTGTGCGGTGGTCACAGTAGTGTTGTGCGGTGGTCCCAGTAGTGTTGTGCAGTGGTCCCAGTAGTAGCGCTAGGTCGTGGAAGTTGTCACGGCGAAGCGAGTGTCGGATGGGTCGAGTTACTGAAGTAAATACGGGCGCCTCGCGCCGCAGCCTGCAGATATTTGTCCTTTGTGAACCTCATTGCTGGTCCTAAGTTCTTAGGAAGAATAGGATGGCTGGGTGACCTGATCGTCTATTCTTATGAAATATTTTTTTTATTATATTTATGTTTAGCTACCATTTGCGCAGGACCGACTGATTTCAATTCATGGCGACTATTCGTCTCAAAAATTTATCTATGTATGCTTGATGGGCCATCATGTTAAAATGAATATTTTAGAATGGAAATAATTCGGGTTTTTGCTGCATTGAATGTATATCTTATTTATTTTTCCCGGTCATTTTTAAACAGTTGAAAAATGTTTGTCTTGGAAAAGTCATTAGAAAATATAAAATTTTTTGATTATTGTGCTGTGAATTAATAGAAACGTCTTAAAAAGACTAGAAACATTAAAAATCGACTAGAAACAATAAAAATCGCAAATTATAGTTCAAATATTTTCGTAGGTTTGAGACCCTGCAATTCCAAAGTGAATAAAATTTCCAAATTATATTAAGATTAATCTATTAGTCAAGCACGAATATGAATAAAATTTTCCTTACATTCAAAATCCCATGCATGGAGAAAACGTTCGTTTCGAGGTGCAGGCAGATCCAGATGCTAAAAACTTTTGTACAGAGGCGAACTTTACGTTTCAACTTCAACTCGTTCGATTTCGTGGCCTGAAGCATACGCTCTTGAACAACACAACCAACAACAAACCAAACTCGCTGTTCGAGATATCGCTCCGAAATTCAGCAAATGTCATACGAAGTTTTGTTTAAAAGTTTTTCTCGATCAAAAAATCTGATAACGATGCCTCTACCATATGCGCTGGAACGCGAACAGTCAAATTGATCAGTATGAAGTACGAAATCTTGCGTACTGCCAAGTAAATTTCTTTATTTTTTATCTACAATTTAAACAAATATTTTAGATTAAAGAAGAACTAATCTACTAATTATTTTATTGCACTAATCTACAACAGTCTTTTTCGCATGAGATCTTTTGTACATGTCCTCGCATCAGAACTTATAGTGCATTATGAAATGAATTAATAAAAATAGAAATTAGGAACTGATCAAGTACAAGGCTCGCGTTGATGAGAATAACCTAATAACATCTGCCCCAAATTTTCGTCGTAAACGGAAGTAAATTTGTATGGAATCAAGAAGAAAATCATGACCTTTTAAGCTGGAGAGAAGTTTCTTGGCCCGACAGCACCGGAGATTACTTTCTTCTTGATTACCGGCGTTCAACGTCAGCCGAGAGCCGGCGCAGTGCGAGAGGCTGCGTACATATATGGGAATTATCATGATCACCAAAAAATCATGACTTTTCTGTACTAAACATTCTTAAATCGGTAAATTTTTTAAATAGTTTGAGAATAAGTTGAAGAAATATTGAAGTTGGCAATATGATGCGTTGTGATATCTACGATATTAAAGAAAACTGCCGTTCCGAATTGTTATGATTTATTAATATTGAAAAATATCTCCGATACTCCTAAGAGAGGCGTAAACCTGTAAGTGCAAATTAATATGTTTTGCTTGATGAACTCAACAAGGTTTTCAAATTATGATTGCACGCGTTAACTACAAGACTGAAGTGCATAAGAATCGAATTTCGTATAAAATAAATTGATTATTCTAAGTTCTCTTTGACCGCTATCGGACAGTTTGTTTCTGCATGCCGTCAATGTTCATCTTTTGTAACAATTTTATCAAAAAGGGAACAAGTAATGATTCCAGAATCCTGCTCAGAAGTTCTACTCAGATTTATGCATCCAATTCTCAGTTTTTCGAGCGTGAATCAGTTATGATTCACGATATTTAATCATTTTGATATGATTAAATATCGCTGTCTACTTCATGCTCAACTTTTTTCCATTAAATTGGCTTAGCATTAAAAAGAAAATTATGACCTCCATAGCCTATGAACTATAAATTTCATTATTTACAACCCCTAAAATATAATATGGAAAGAGTAAACGCTGAGAATATAACCAAAAATCGTTATCCAAGACCACTTGTCACTGCCAGAAGGTAGGGAGGGAGGGAGAGGCAGAAATTATCTGCTGGCACAGGACGGGCTAAATAATAATTCATTTTGAGGAAAATATCTGGCGCAGCGACCGCGAATCTTGCGAAATCCGCCTGACCGAAACGAGATAAATAATAACAAAATAATTGCGGATGATTTGAAGTAATTGTTTCTGATTCAGAAGAATTTTCAGATTTTGTACGATTTTTACCCTGTAACGAAAGAACCGATTAAGATTTCATATTTACACGTGACTGGCAGGTCACTCGTAACATTATCAACATGAAATCATCGAAACAAGTAGTTACTGAACGGAAATTAACTATAAATTCTTTGAAACCCGTTGCTGTAAAAGGATGGAGATTCTTCTCGTGTTGAAAGTCGCCGAACTTGAAATTACAATTCGGAAGTGACTAATATGCGAAGAATCATGATAATACTTCACATTAGTTCTGCTAAATAAAATATAAGAGTATTGTTAAAATTTAATGAATATAAGATTAATATAATAGATGAAACGTACTTGATATATTTCACAGATCAAATCTAGAAGTCGGGTGGTACTGATTATGGTACAAGGAAAAATGATAGTGAATTTTTGAACCTCATCAAAACCAGTCGTGATGCAAGTAAGGATATTAGCGAAGTATTTGACTTCATCAGTCCAAAGTAGAAAATAATTACAACTATCGGTTTGCAGCCACGAACTGTGACTGCAGAACTGACGCACGGGCGCTCTATACCTTGCATTCAGTCGCATGGTATGAAAAATCAACTGATCAATTAAAAGCAGAAAACTTAAAAATCAACTGATCAATTAAAAACATAAAACTTAAAAATCGACTGATCAATTAAAAACATAAAACTTAAAAATCAACTGATCAATTAAAAACATAAAACTTAGAAATCAACTGATCAATTAAAAATATAAAACTTAGAAATCGACTGATCAATTAAAAAACATAAAACTTAAAAATCAACTGATCAATTAAAAACATAAAACTTAAAAATCAACTGATCAATTAAATTTGCCAAAAGAGGAAAAAGAAAGGTTCAAATGAGAAGAAAAAATGTTTTGAAAAAAAAGTTTGAACCTAGAAAAGGTTCAAATTAGATTATATTAGATAGGGAAATTCACATCTCCTCGCTAATTCCATTAAAATTTACACCAGAAGATAAGTCGCGTCGACATGACACTATTGGACGTCATCGGAGAAGTTCGAAGGGAGATATTATTAATAGGTTTAATATTAATATATACTCGATTTTCACGTTTTGACTTGCAACGAAAAGAAAAATATTGATATATATATATAATAAATACACATACATGTTCCATGGCTTGACAGTATACATTTGTGAAAAGATATTAAAAGAATTTAAAGAATAAATTAATTTCATCCAGTGGTATCCTCACTAGCAAATGTAATTAACGAGTATGGAGCCATAATCCCGCGGAAGACCCAATTCTATGCACTCCAGTAATTTTCAGATATCGTTTGAATGTTAATGGTCTTCCTGGATGAATATTTTACTAGGCTCATATATGTACGTCAGGCTGCTGTCCAGCCCGCTGGTTTTTACAGCGCCACATTCATGAACCTCGCGTAAAAGTTGCGCTGATTGCAGCCCGCGCGTCGCTTTGATTTCCAGTCCCTCTGGAGTTGTCATTTCACAGAGCTCATCTTTGCTTCAACTGCCGAGACTGATGATGTTCATCAACAGCATACACGAACAAAATGTTGAACCTAATATCTTTCCTAGAATTTCAACAGCCACAATTCCAAGTCAAGGTAGAACATTGCGAATGAAAAGTGTAGCCGTCTTCGCGTGGACGATATTGAAGACTTGAAGGTTGTAACGATTCTCTTAGAATAGAAGTGTCAGCACTGAAGAAATAGGCCCATGGCCTGTTGCCGATTCTTGAACTTTTCGTGACTTGATTCACAAGGGATCCGGCCTTTGGAACCCGATCTTTCCATAGCTGACGATTGATTGAGATAGCTGCTGGACTTATTGCCTGGTCCGTAATTTGCTAGGCATTTTAAGACTGAACATATGCTCCTGCATAGCTTCGTCTAGTCTGTTTTTGAAGATGTTCATACTCGGAGCGTCAACGATGCTATCAGGGAGGCTGACGATGCTATCAGGGAGGCTTGATGTTAGTTTGTTAAACTGCGAAACAAAGATACCGCACACAAATAAAAATAATTGTTACAAAATACTGCTAAATAATTGGCTGAATTTTTATATTCATGAAAAAAATATTCATAGAGAAGCGACAATATAATTTGTAACCAAATGCAACACCCTTACTCATCAAACGACTAGTAGCAGAGCTGGTGCGCTGCCTGCAGCAACATGTAAATAAATCATGATCAGTCATGCATTGTAGCTCCGAAATAAGGTTCCCTTCAAGCCGAAAGTATCACACTAGAACTTCACGTCACGCCTGCACTGGACGGGACACTTTAACATATTTACGCATATCTAATTACCCTTGTACTGTGGTTAAAAATCATCGCCATGCAAAGCACACAATGTGAAAAAATTAGTAATTACGGTATTTACGGTATTAACATTACTTTTTTAACTAGAGCATTGCATTATTTTTGTTTTAACGACGACGCAAAAACGGGGGTAACTGCGTTGAAATTCGCTGACTCGGCACCTGCCGAACTGAGTGCTGATACCCATGGCCGATAGCGCTTTATTTATAAACTCGTGACCCACGCCAGGGAAAGCCTCCGCGAAAACTGGTTTACCATAAATTAATTTTAAGTGATTCTTAAAGTATCATTTTTCACACATATCACATTCAGTGAAGTTTTATTATTCCAGAAAAATAATGTAAAATAATAATGTAATAAATAATAATAATAAAATAATAAAAATAACAACAGGTGTCTTCAATTTGATTTTGTGGCATTTATCTTTTATAATTTGAAAATAAAAGTAAAATGTTCAGAGGACGTTTCATCATTGTTGCTTCAGACACAGCGCCAAGTTTTGAACAAACAATCAATGATGTCCGGCAACTTCTATATCCTTTACTTATTTATTGATTGCTCCTTTTTCCAACGCATTTCATAACAGTCAACGATTTTATTTTAAACCCTTCGACCATGTCAGCAGCGAAAGTTTTAATTGTTTCTGGAAGTTTTGCAATTGTTTCAATCGTGAAGTTTCTCCGCTTATGACAAATAGCACTTAGATAGGCTTATGAAAGCGAGTAAGCATTTTTATCAATTTGTCGTAAATTTTAATTTTATTATTTTAGAACTTTAGAAGTTACAGTATATCGTTATTTATATCCAGATATCACACTAAAAAATGTACTGGAATCTTCTATGTATAGATTCGATATTATTACTTACGGAAAACCTAGAAGCAATGATTTAAAAAATTGCTGCTTGAATCTCAGTCTTTTGAGGTTGAGTTATTTGTCCGTCAGATAACAGTCCCATTCATTGCTATTAATTGACACTGCAACATAAACTCTATGATAGATAAGAAGCTCGGTTGAGATTACAGTCGCAAAGTATTCACTAGCTGTTAGTAATTGACGCTGAATGTCAATCAGGTCAATCATTTCATGAGATTCATGAACGCTAAAATTACATGCAGCGAACTTAAAATCATTAAATCCCAGTATTTTATACTTATTATGCCCGCAATAACCATTCTGTGGCGTGTTGGGTCAAGCAATCTTGCGTAGGGGAAGTCGCCTATTTATTAATAAAGTACCTTAAACAGATACAATGCAAGGCATTGAAAAAGCTTTAATTTATGATAATCTGTTGAAAACAATATCAATATAATTAATATAATATATATATCAATTATTATATATAATAATATTATTATTATATATAATATATATTTATATAATATATAATTAATCTAAAAAAAGTTAGTATTAGTCAATCACAGGTATCAACGGTAGGCTTTTCGGAAAAAGATTTTTTCACTTTTCCTAAAATGTGATCATGAGCATGAAACTTCGACGAGTCCCAGACTCTGTTCAAATAGAACCAAATGCTGGAATGAAAGGAGAGTCAGGGTTCAGTTAGCGCGCGTCAGGACTTGTCATCAAAGAATTCTTCATCGGCCACAAAATTGCCCAGATAAGGTGATGTTGATTTTCGGACGTTCATAACAAGCCGACGTTCATCTACCTAGAATAGGAATATAGAACATTATGATTCTACATATAATGACTATTACACCAATGAGCAGGAGGTGGTATGATTGAATATATGATTTTTCCCCAAGATATATAATCGGAAATATCATGAAATTTGCTTGTGTTATGACATTTCATTTCCCATAGACTAGAAGGACAATATTTTGCAGGTTTTTATGCTACACTTAGTAATATCAAGCAATTAAACACAAGCTCGACAATTAATTTTTAAAAATAAAATACCCTTCCACCATTTACACATGTTAAATTTTCTGCTATTTTTCCGGGTCTCTCATTCGAAGCGAACTAAAACCACGATTTCATGGACGAGCCTCCAATCGAATGACCTCGTTTGGTTTTCCGCCAACCCACAGGAGGCCGCGAAGTGGCCATCGGCGTATATGACGGATTTGAGAAAAGTCTCGACTTGGATAAGAAAAATCCGATTTACTGGCCGGGTGGGCAGCCGGCCAAGGACAGGACGACACGTATCATCGAGAAAAACACCGTCAACATCCACTTCTACGTCGTGCTCGTCACCATCTCGTCTCTGGGCATCGTCATGGCCGCCATTTTTCTGTCTATCAACATTCACTACAGAAATCAAAGGTAGGTCGTCTTAATTTGGTTATATTGTTAGTCTTTTTAGCGCATTTTCTCATTTATGGAAAAAAGGCGCCATTGTGCTCGTCATGTCCGTCTGTACGTGACTTCACTTTTTTGTCGACGAAAAAGTGCGCTCTCTTTCACTCACTGCAGTGAGTACCGAGTTATATTTTTTAGAGTTTCATGTATTGAATTTTAATATTTGTAATTTTTTTCAGTGCCCTACGCTATGTAACATTGTTTTCTCTCGTGCTAAACATTGATACACCTTTGTGAACCAAGAATTCTAAGAGTGTGATTGTTGATATTTAAACATTTTGCAAATTTAATCGCGCAAATTTCCGAGGCCAACCCATGACGTCCAACTTTTAAAGAGATCCAGAATTTTCGGTACTGTTATAACATCAAAATTAATTCCGGTGTTCAAAACGTGCGTAATTGTAGAAAAATTAACCTTAAACTGATAAATAAAAATTCAGCGCTAAGAGCATAGCAAAGTGAGTTGAACATGCAGAACTTATTGCGTTCTGTATTGTAACACACAGAAGATTTTACGTTCTATATATTCAGAACGTTTTACGTTCTGAATGTTCAGAACGTCCTACGTTCTGTATGTTCGGAACGTCTTACGTTCTGTATGTTCGGAACGTCTTACGTTCTGTATGTTCAGAAAGTCCAACGTTCTGTATGTTCGGAACGTCTTACGTTCTGTATGTTCAGAACGTCCAACGTTCTGTATTTCAGAACGTCTGTATGTTAAAGGTTCCTTGCTATCTTTGAAGCTCACTGGCAAGCAAAAAGAGCGGCACTGAATGTGACCCTGCAGCCGCGTTTGCATTCCTATATAGAACTCTGCGATCGCTGATACTTTTGTCCACATCGAACTCGAGTCTAAGTTTTCTTCGCGAGAGAGAGTCGTTAATTAAATTCATAACTTAATTTGAATTTAGACACTGGGTTGAATGAGGAGTTATTAGTTGCATTCTTTCGAGTTTCGAAAAAAATGTGGGATCTAGATTTGAATCCTCAAATTCAGCAATTATTGCTTGTTTACATATAGCGTCTATTTCGGTTTAGAATTAACCTGCTATCGTGCGAATACTCTTCTTTGACGAGCAAAATCTCACCCCATGGTTGACGATAAAAAACATCGAAGTGTCAAACGGTCAAAAGGGATAGATTAATTACTTCTATGCATTGCTTCCACAACTAAGCGGTTGCTGGCGAATCCAATTCACCAATTTAAAGTCAAAACCATTTTCATCGCCGCAGCGGAAGCTGTTTCGGTCAGCTAGCAAAATTCCTGTTCAAGTTTTTACAAAAGTTCATCCAGTTTCGTAAAATGCAGCACGCGATGTGCTGTGGCGAAAACATTGAATTTCTGGGCTCTATCGTGAGCTCCAGACCACCAAACAACTCTTCGCGCATGCTGCTGATTTTAATATGAAAATCCATTTAACTGTACCTGTGGAGCGTATACTGAAGGCATGACTCTGCATATGTAGTAGACAAAAAGTTCACAACGACACGAGAATGAAATTTTTAGCCACTAATTTTTTTTTGCTAATGTGGCCATTGGACGGCTTTATTTATTCCCTTAAATTTTTCCTAATTAAAACAAACATTTGCTGCCAAACCTTACAATGGCCCATAATTACGCTTCAGCCATGGACATCAAAATCCTTGAAATTCTTCACAATATAAAAATTGCACCATTCTTAAAATTAAGAACGCTTATTTTGCTTCACTTCCATAGAAATTCCCGGTCCATTAAAAACACTCGTCCTTCCCGATTGCATCTGGAGATATTCAGGCTCGTGAATAGAGAGAAACGAGAGTCTGTTTTCTGGGAGAAGCGAGCCGGAAGACCGAGGCGTAGTTTTTATATTAATGTCATTCTGTTGGCAGCTCCTTGATGAATACCGCGTCGACACCACAACAAATTGAGAGTGACTGCGAGTCTCACGCTTCCACCGCAAGGGAAATAAATTCTTTGATGGAATCTAACAGGCTGCGATAAAAATTATCTCCAAATGGTCTCCATTCCGATATGTTCAAGCCATCCTGAGCGATTTCTGCAGCAATCTGTTTCCAGTAAAACTTGTCAAGCCCCATTAAGGATGATATTGCGTGCGCCCGAGCTGTGGTTAACGCTGCAAGACCCCGAGAGGATGCCGATAGATGAAGATCGAGTTAAAAATGAGCTGGGATGCTTCAGGCTGCAGAGGAGGGCGTATATGGAAGAAGTCTTCGATATGAACAGTTTTACTCATGTTGTATATGAGACCTAAGCCATTGCAAATGATTCTGTCATTATTTCCTGCTCAATTATTTACTGAAGAAACGATCGATCACACAGCATTACAAGAGCAATAAATGCGCACGAAATGCAGCCAATGAGACGATTAATTGACTAAAACAACCGCGAACGAGAACTCATTTTCTCGGTTTCCTAACTTTAATTGAAAACAGAGTTTTAATTACTTGACCCCTGACCGAGTTGAATTTCTACAGTTGTTCATGCCTGCAGAACTGTCATTTATCGGTTAGGGATCACTCCTCATTCGTGTCTGTCTCCTCGCATCCGCGAAAGTGCCATCAGACTGAAAATTGTGCATTTCAGTGAGAAAAAATGGCTATTGTTTTCGCAATTTGGACATGGAGAAAGCAACTTAGACTGAACACGCGGTAATTAAATACGAGTACAATAGATTCTCGTGTTCTCGTGTTTATAGATTAATTTGTTAATGAGAGCAATATGCGCAATTTACGACATTAATTATTTGATTTAATTAGTCTTGTAGGAACTCTTGTAATCACCTTCGTGGACTACGTTGTTCTTTCCTCTTCATTTTACATTAATCGTTAATTGTTTCATCATTGTAAGGAGTACGAACATGATTAATTTAAAATCGATAATACCTGCCACCGTTCGTCTTCGATGGATGACGTCATCTGCCAAGCTTATTTTAATTATTGAATTTTACCCAGTTAATCTACTTACCAAGTTTACTCACAACGCATTCAAAGTCTGTACAATCTTCGGGAAATATTTCATGGCCCAGATAATACAAGGAGAAATTGATGCAAACAGAATCATTCAAGTGAGACCTACGAACGGGAGAGAGTGATAACCTACGCAGAATATTCTGCAATCTCGCCCGTAATGCATGAAACGATTTCTTCATTTTGCATGAAAAATATTCTGTTTGATGTAGTGGTCATGTTCTTTATGAAGACCTGAAATGACTACAATAACCTTGCTGATATGATCAAGTACGCACACACTTTCTTTATTTAGAGTTCTAGGTTCTTTTCATTAGCGTTTGGACGGACGTTTTCAATTTTAATATAACGACTTACTGACAGTGATAACTACCTATATTGACTGCAAACCCCTACAATACAAATTTCTTAAGAAACCTCACTCATACATTGTAATCATTTTCAAAATTTTGATATTAAAAATCCTTATGCTGGTAATAAACTCGTATGGTTTTTGAAGTTCATTTTTATCGGAAAACAATTTTTTCGCTTGACCAATTTATCATCCGCTTTCGAGGATTTTTCCTTTGGTAAAGTTAAATGTCCTTATAAGATAGAATATAAAAATTTTTATTCTCCAACAATATCAACTAAACATTTAAGTATATTTTCTTTCAAATAAGGTACATCAAGATGTCGTCACCATACCTCAACAACCTCATCATCATCGGCTGCATACTCACCTACACTTCAGTCATCTTACTGGGCCTAGACTCAGAGCTCACGTCCGAGACGAGCTTCCCGTACATATGCACCGCTCGAGCCTGGGTTCTCATGGCCGGCTTCACGCTCGCTTTTGGCTCGATGTTCTCCAAAACCTGGAGAGTGCATTCCATTTTTACCGACGTACAGCTCAACAAAAAGGTTAGTTCCAAAACCTCGAGAGTGCATTCCATTTTTACCGACGTACAGCTCAACAAAAAGATTAGTTCCAAAACCCTTAGCATGCATTCCATCTTCACTGACGTTTATTTCAATAAATAGGTTAGATCCAATACTCTTGAGCGGGCATTCAATTTTTGCCCACGTAAAACTAAAAAATTAAGTTAGTTACAAAACCTTAAAGGTGCATTCCATCTTCCATCTTCACCGACGTACAGCTTAGTAAAAAGGCAAATTCAACAGGTAATTTTTTCAATAACAATCAATCAAGGTTCGATTCTTTACAAGCTACTAATTAGGAAATTATTGGAGGAGAATATTAAATAGCTCGTAGAATTGTTTGTTTGTTTGTTTGTTTATTCTTGAAAAATCACTTCGTGAGTTTCGTTATGATTTTCAAGTGAATTTTCATTTGATTCAACTTATTAATTTTAAAAACTTTGCATTCAATAATATCTCGACACATCATTACGTTTATGATCAAAAGTAAAATTTCGAAACATTTTGGTTATTACTGTACAATGGCAGGATTGTAAGTGCAGGTGTTGCTTCATATAACATGACCAGCACACGTACCATATCAATATGACCAGCGCACGTACGATATTAATATGACCAGCACACGTACCATATTAATATGACCAGCGCACGTACCATATCAATATGACCAGCGCACGCACCTCATTATTATGACCAGCACACGTACCATATATCAATGTGACCAGCGCACGTACCATATTAATATGACCAGCGCACATACCATATTAATATGACCAGCGCACGTACCATATCAATATGACCAGCGCACGTACCATATTAATATGACCAGCGCACGTACCATATCAATATGACCAGCACACGTACCATATATCAATATGACCAACGCACGTACCATATTAATAAAACCAACGCACGTACCTCATTATTATGACCAGGTGATCAAGGACTACCAGCTGTTCATCGTGGTGTTCGTGCTGCTCTGTTTCGACATCGCCATCATGACGACCTGGCAGATCGTCGACCCGTTCTACCGACACACCAAACTCATGCCCGCAGTCGTAAGTGGAAATTACCCAAAATTACATAATTCTGTAGCTGATGATTAATTTTTGCTTGACCTAATTATGTATATTGATTATTGTCAAATATTCTTTGCGGTAGTAAATAAACTAAATCACAATGGATGCGTATGTGACATCTTTGAACTGAATTTGTATCAAGCCTACTGTATAGCATAAATTATGCTCACATGCTAGTTGTATTGACCAATTGAGTAATATGGATTGTACAGTGTATGCAAACCTCGAATATTAAATTCCTGTGCGTGTACGTTGAATGTCAAACTTCTTCGTCATTTGTACATTTTCTTGTTGTTCGCAATTTTTCTTGTTGATGCGTCACCAAAGTACGAAATTTCTGCAATATTATGAGCGCGTTACATCCTATATAGGCTTTATTTGTACGGGCAAGGAGGGCGCCTGGAGCGCGTTTTGTGCAATAGAGGTTTATTGAAGTGGCAACTTTCGGTCGTTTCTCAAACTCGCTTCCTGTTTTTGTGCGAGCAGAAGAGAGGCGACATCGACATCATCCCCATGAACGAATACTGCAAGAGCGAAAAAATTTCCATTTTTGTCGGCTGCATCTACGCCTACAAAGGACTGCTTATGGTAAGCTTTGCTTATGTTTATTTCTAAGCTCAACAACACTGAGAACTTGCGCCAAAATAGGAGTTGCTTGACGTGAGCGCAAACGTCTTTTAAAGTTAGTCCTAAAGTATTAATGTCACTTATTTACTTAAATCGCAAGTTGACTAAAAATTTAAAAGCAAAGAATAGTCCACAAAAATTCATATCTTTATAGAAAACGTTTTCTATAAAGATATGAATTTTTGTGGACTGTTCGTTGCTTTTTAATTTTAAGTTAGTCCTATTTTATATTCTGTTTGAAAATTTAATAATCACAAATCAAGAATATTTTTCAGTTAATAATTCGTTTGGAAGGGTACAAGATCGAAACTAAAAAGTTATCAACATGTAATATTTTAAATAGCATCTGAGTCTGTCCCATAATCTGAGACGATCCTCCTTTTCTCGAGTTTATCGCTGGACGAACCTACGCTGGTCGATGCAATGAGCGAATATTGTGCGTCGTCAATCTTGCCTTCCTTTGTATACGAGGCGCGGGTAAACTGCCGTCAGGGACTCAATCTGCACGGCTTTGTTTGATTTTGACTCGTCCTGTCAGCGATTCCGTTTCTTTACTTTGTAGCTACGAGCAGCGACTGAGTTGATCATGAGCAGAGTGGATGTCGACACGTTCAAGGAATAGTAGTGAAAACCGTTATTGAGCAGGTTTAAATTTTTAATTCTTAAATGTGAACAGTGAACACGCGTGCTCTAAAATACGTACATATTTTCCCTGCTAAAATTTTCAAAATGCTTTTAGTTTCCTATGAGGGTTTTAAATGGGTAACTTAAATAGTCCCTGATACTGCTTATTGAATAAGTTCTTTCCGCAGAGTCGTTTCACATCAGTTAGATCACTTTTATATAAAAACATCAACATTTAATATAAAATAATCCCAATTTAATATCAAAAACATTAACATTTAATATAAAAAACATCAACATTCAAAGAATGACGCGTACAACGTGACCACATCAACATTTAATATCAAAAACATTCACATTTAATATCAAAAACATCAACATTCAAAGAATGACGCGTACAACGTGACCTCGTTGAGTCTGTTTCCTAGACCGAGGCAGGCTCTTCAAGAAGCCCTCAATTTTATTCTCCCCCGGGTGCATACTAAAATTGCTGCAAGTTTCTGCTCGCCTACATTTGTTCAGTCCTGGGCGTATGATCGACCGCTGCGACATCAGCCACTTTGAGGAACCTTTAAATAATAATAAAATCAAATGAAAACATGCTTATTTGTTTAAAAAATGACCTCAGTAATCATGCGGCTCCAAATAGATTAAATTATAGTAATTAATCTAAAAAGGCATCATATCATGATACGAAAGCTATTTCCAGGAATCAAATATGGCCAGCATTGATTTGGTTCCGAGTCGTTCCATTAGATAATGTCCGCAGTCTGGTTTTTCTCTAAAATAAAAAAACACTCATAATTTGGGATTTATCTCAGTAACTTGATAAAAGATCTCGCTTATCATGCTGTCACCAGCAACGTCAGCCATCAATCATTTTGAAATGGATTTCTCGGATAATATAAATTAAACTCATTTTTGTGCCTACTCATCCAAAACAAATGATAAGAGGGAACAACATCTGGAAAATACGCTACCTAACTATCTAGTCCAATACATTTTTGTTCTATCTTGATGTGGAGAAAAGAGACAGAAAATGATAGATGATGATCATGCGTTTGGTTTAAAGCTGCTTGTTCTCAACGAAGTGATTAAATTAGCAAATAACAATATAATGGTTTAATTTTGTACATTATTTTGTAATGAACGTTAGGCTAACTATCTCTCGAGACACTCACTATGATTCCCATTTCTTCACTCAACTGAAATCTCCATTCAGGAAAGGTAATATCTCTTCTAGCAAATTCGCTCGCTTATTTTTATCTGCGCTCAGAAAGGATGTGACATCAATCAGAACGAACTCCTATAGAACATATAATCTCTTTATTGATTCACGAAGTACAAGTATTGCAGTGTGTAGATTTTGTATTGATATAGGATACATACAACTGATCCATTCGAAAAGTTCATTGCAAAATTTAATACCTTAATTCAATCTGCACCAATCTGAAAAAGTATCAATTTTTTATAAAGATTTTCTTAGCCGCAGAAGAAGCTAAAATTTGTCTACCTGAAAATATCTTGAGTAGCCCAGTGAATACTTTTGTCTATCCTGAGATACAAATCTATCTGAAATAATTGATTTCATCCCAAGATATTCGGGTGCCTGCTGGCATGGGAGACGAGAACAGTAGATATTCCTGCTCTGAACGACAGCAAGTACATCGGCATGAGCGTCTACAACGTGGTGATCATGTGCGTGATAGGCGTGCCTATCTCCTACATCCTCAGCGATGATCAAGACGCTTCGTACATCATAATCTCAGTGTTCATCATCTTCTGTACTACCGGCACGCTCTGGCTGGTGTTTGTTCCTAAGGTACGTATCGATCAAGTATCCATTTTGTTCGTACTTTATCTACAATTCATTTGTGAGCGAGCAACTGAAGGGTAAATAGGTTTCACGGTATAGCGAGGCACAGCTGGTGCACGGATTTGATCATTTGAAGCTTGTTTAATTGTGGGAAGTGTTATCGCTAAAAGTCCTCGTGTATCTTTTACAGTTAATTGAACTAAAAAGAAATCCTTCTGGTGCCGTTGACAAGCGCATCGCAATCAGAACGACTCTTAAGCCTCCAAAGCGGCAAGAATCTGAATCGGACGTGTCGGATCTGCACGACCAGATGAAAAAAGCTGAGAGTGAGAGACAAATGCAGAAGCAGGTGCTGCGCGACAAAGAACAAGAACTACAAGTAAGTTCCACTTTTTCAAGCGTATTTATGTTATTTCGAGCAGAGCTATCAACAAAAGTTGAGGATTTGATGTGTTTGATGAACGGGCGCCGCGTGTTGCTTATAAAGTTGACCTTGCCCATTGCCAGGTCCGACTACACGTGTAATTTTTTATCACCATGGTAATATTAATGACGAGTCGGATATGATTATTTTATTGTTTAAGAAGTATGTACATTCATAATTGGCTAGTGTCGAAGCGCCCTCAATAATATTAATTACCATCTTTTTCTTTGGAACTGTTTTTTTTATATCCAATTTTGGGCGTTTCACTTAGTATGCAACAGTTCTACCAGCTTTTGGCTGGGCTGGTATTTGGTTATATGCTCAATTTTTTGCGAATATTATATTTTGGTTCTAAGATCAAATTATTTGCATTCATTTCTGGTTGTTAGCTCTATTTGGTCGTATTAATTTTTAGCTCCACAATTTTATACAACCAAAACAATAATTATTATTATCCCATTTCCAAGAAGTTTCAGGGGGAAAATTAGGAAAACAATTGCAACGCTATTCTTCTCGTATCAGCCTTGATGTACATAATATTATGTACATATCTATCTTGATAAGTGCCAACGAGAATCATGTTTCAATTTTTACGTGACCCTCTCCCAACTCAATCAAGTTTGAATGTACCTGCCATTTGAATTAAAATATCGTATCTCGCGCGCCATCAGGTTCTGCTTCTCAAGTACGGCGATGAAATTCTAGAGGAGATAGCAGCCGAGAAGGTGGCAGCCGCCAAGATTCTGGCGGCCGCAGCGGCAGTGACGGAGGCCAGGGGCGCCACGCCCGACACCAGCAGAGCTTACTTCGATATTGGCTGGGAAGGTCCGTAGCCTGTAGCATTAGTATTAGTCAGTAGCTACAGTTTGCTTATTGCATTAGTGGGCCCGGTTCTTGATGACACCTGAGTTTACGAGGCGCTAGAACTGAAGTTAAGGAGGCATTCTTGAGAAAACGCTATAACTTGAGCTAAGGAGGCGTTCTTGAGAATAAGCGATAACTTGAGTTAAGGAGGCGTTATTGAGGATAAGCGATAACTTGAGTTAAGGAGGCGTTCTTGAGAATAAGCGATAACTTGAGTTAAGGAGGCGTTCTTGAGAATACGCTATAACTTGAGTTAAGGAGGCGTTCTTGAGAAAACGCTATAACTTGAGTTAAGGAGGCGTTCTTGAGAATAAGCGATAACTTGAGTTAAGGAGGCGTTCTTGAGAAAACGCTTTAACTTGAGTTAAGGAGGCGCTCTTGAGAATACGCTATAACTTGAGTTAAGGAGGCGCTCCTGAGAAAACGCTACAATTTAAACTAAGAAAGCGCTCTTTAGAACACGCTATGATTCAAGAAAGCGCTGTTTGAATCCATGATTTATTTTGATACGTAAGAACCCTATATAGTTGAAGCTCCACATTCACGAAAGTATAATTTACTTTGCCATTAGCCGTAGAATACTGCGCCCAATTGAAATCCGCTAACTAACGTTAATGGTTTCCTCAGTTTAAAAAATGGTATTCAAGACAAAAATGCTTAGGCCTAACATTTGATTTACCGGATTAGTCCTTAATGAGAACTCATGTAGTAGCATCCATTTGTGTGCAAACCAATTTCAGTCGAATATTGGCAAGCAAATTATGACACATACAATTTATTAGTGACTTGGCAGTGAGAAATAAAATGTAAAGGAAAAAATTTAGCATATTGTTAATATGTGAAACCCAAATGGAAGTCTTTTTACGCTTGACTTCATTATGCTTCAGGAGGTTGATGGACAGTTAATAATAAAATGCATTTAATTTTCGTTTTCTCATCAGGTCCATCAACTGGAGACGCAGCTGAAATAACTGAGGAGACTTCGTTATGTTCAAGTCACAATGCTGAGTATGTGACATCTCACTACCCCCTCTCTACCCTCACCACCTCCACTACATCCATTCACCATACACAACTTACAACAAACAACCACACTCACGTGCCGAACTCTAATAACAACAACTTGCCCGTGGTTCCCATTCCAGCAATCCTCAATCCGTTCCCAGATGACTCAAATGTACCCAAATTAAATGTCCGTTCATCTTCTGAGTTTGATCCCACCGCCACCGCTCCCCCAGAAATAACCCCAAACATTTCCTCGAATATTATCCCTGATGCCATCACTTCGCCAGAACATAGCCTTATTGAAACCTCTACTTCTGAAATTGTTAACTCCACCTCCAAAGATGAAGACCTAGATCGGGTCACCCGGTTAGTTTTTTGTTCTTGGTCCGTTCCCGTAGCGTTTCCTTCAAGCTACTTCGGAGAAGAGTACTGCTTTCACTTGATTGATGCCATGAAGCACCACCTCCTTCCCATAGTTTCTTGCGTAGCTTAACTTGATTCGTTTTGTAGATTGGCATCTACTTTGACGGTGGCCACTAACGCCTGTGTTATGTCCGCCCATCACACGCCATTGAGGCCGCTTGCAATCCATGTACGACATGGACCGACTGCTTGCTTCCTTGCTTGCAAAAGTTTAAGGCAGTTATATTATAAAACACTCACACTCCTTCCCTAGAGAGGCCTTGAATTCCTCTCCGCACGAGTCTAATATTAAGACTCCGGATAAGCAAACAAGTTCGCAATAAAACATTCTCATTAATGCTTGCTGTCACTCCGATTCAATAAGATCGCTTATTTGGATTAGAATACATAGAAAGTTATATTTAAAACTTGAATATTCGTAGGGCTATAATTGGTGATTATAATGAGTTATTAATATTTTTGACATATTTGCTCGTCATTGGTCAAGAAGAACACCCTACATGCCACATGTATTCTGTATGGTACTTTCTCACTAAATATTAGCATTTTCCTACTATTTATGCATAAATTCTAGATATGTACCATTCGTATTATCTCTCAAGATTTTTTTAATATCTTGCAAACTTAATTCGTGAAACTTGGCTCTTGACCTGTCTAAACTGCATCTCATTTCATACGCACGCATTGTCCTTGAAGTGCGTTGACTTATGAGCTCGATTTTATTAGTTCGATTGTCATGCAGTTGTTGATTCCTGTCCCTTCTATACGCCGTTGACTCGCGATAACAGCGATGCAACTTTGCGAAGCATGAATAATTCTTGTTAACCTCCATTTGCTTGCTTTTCCATATCCATGAAGTCCTTTGTGTGGAAAAAGTAATGAAATTTTATGCAATTTTACCTCTTCCCATTGTCCCCATCGTATTCGTGAAATTCTAGTTTCTGTACAATATTCTTCCTGTCAAAATGTTTTTCAGTTCCCGTTCATGCTGGATATTTTTACCACATTCTCCTGAACCTATTGAAAATTTTTGCTTCAGCCCGCGACGCCTTCCGTGTAGGAACAAACATTTCAACTCGTGTTCGTTATTTTACACAGTTTTCCTTTCATTCATGAAATGAACGTTTCAACCAACGTTCAGCATGAGTGTTTGAGGCTGGAAATCATAATTTTTTACGAATAATCATTTTAACTCATCAACATGGAAGTTCAATCCTAGCTATTATAAAATATTTTGTTAAGTCAGTGTACAGGTATGCCTTTTTTTATTTAATTTCAGAGCTACATGTGAATGGATTTAATCTTTTACGATTTCTTCTTCCCGCCTTCCCCCCAACGTGTAAGAAATGTGTTCCTCTAACTTAAAAATAATAAAATTTCAATAGTTTCGGCATGACGCACTCTTTGCTTGTTTAGCGCCAACACTCTCATATCTATTAGAAATATGAACTGTCAGTTTTGTGCATATTTTTATGTCTTATTTATTGGATCTAACAATTGTAACTTATTTTTTTACTCTAGGAAAGCGTTTGATGTTACATGGAAGATTTTCAATTTAACATTTTCATTGAACTCAAAAATTATCTGAAGACGGCTTGTATGTCGAATAAAAACAGAGAAATTGATTTAAAAAATTCACCAAGCCAGCTTATATTTATTTCAGTAAGATCAAACGCATGCACTTTATAAATTAATTTATTTTATTAATCGTTCATTTTGAAATTTTTAAGGATCTCCGAAATTATTATAAATTATCCGTCTTCTCTCGCCGACATAAAGTTTGATTACGTCTTGTTTAGCATAAAAGCCTTCCTCAAGTTCATATATTTATATTTATATTGGTTTAGTTGAATTTGCAACGTTATCTTTTCCGTTAATACACTAAAAATTAAGATATGGAACTATTGTAAATACACTCCAAGTACGAGAACTAGTTATTTTTCCTTCTAATTATGTAATAAGGTTTGATCAATGCATTAGCAGCAACATAGCGCATTCACGCTATAACATGAGTGCCTGAAGGCAGGTATCCCTAAAGTCTTGCTGGTAATTTTGCAGCCAATAAACGTTTTGAGTTTCAGCTTTCGACAAAATCCGGCGTTGTTATTAAATTGAGTTCTCGCACTGCAAAATATCCCGTATTTGACTTGTATTTCAGTAGCCGAGGCGTGTCGTTCGTCTCACCATCTCAGACGCCTCGCGACATTAGCAAAAGCGTCTCCTTCAGACTCGAGGGCGGGTACACCAAGAGTGAGGGTCAAGTCGAGTGCATCGCAATGCAGGATCTTGCACCGCCGCCACCACACCCCATCCTGCCTTCTGCGCCTCCTTCAGAACCTGCCCCAGCTCTACCACCTCGCGGCCGCAAGGCGCAGGTAGAAACATAGAATTAATTAATCTTTGGATAGTGCGAGTGGATAACGTTTTCAAAATAATTCCGCTTATTAGCTGAGTTTCTGGTAATATTTTTTGTCATATATTGCTTGTTTGAAAACTCTTCTAGCTAATCTAGAGTGCGACTGTTACTGTTTTTTTTATTTCTATAATTGGTAAAAAATGTTTTCACGGAAAAATCATGTTATGAAAGGTTGCCTACTAATATTCTCGCAGCCTTTTCCTGAAAAGTATCTGCAAATAATGAGTAAATAGGTGCATTCAACTCTGCAGTTTTCTCCAAAATTTGATAGTTCTGAAGAGGCAATGAAGTTTCGAAAAATCTTTCACTTTACAGGAAAGATTGCCTCCCATATCATCCGTCGGCTACTCATCGACTTACTGCCATGACTACAATCCAGGGATAATGCAACACGAGATGCAGTTAAATTCAATGGAAAATCCACCTTTACCTCCTCGCATGGACCAGCCCCTGTATCCAGCCCCTCAGTATCCTCCTGGAGTAGTCATGAGCCAGCGTGTGGATATGGAATCGGCCCTAGACCGTAGAATGTCCTATGGATTTGGTCCTATAGAATCAGCAGTGCCGTCAATGAGTGATGAACAAGATTACCATTACAATGAACATGGCATAATTAGCAGTCAAAGAAGGCACGACAGCAGAAGACAATCCCGAGGAAACGAATTTCCCCTTTTGCCGATGGGCTCAAGCCGCATGGCCGAAGGCCAATGCCCGGACAACTATTCTCAAGTGCCTCGTAATGTTTATGTTCCTCTGAACAACCTTGATGATAGAACCAACTTTACAGCCAGACGCCCGCCTGATCTTACTATCGTCAACAACACAATGGCAGGCGCAGCTCCCACTATCCAAAAGAACAGCAACATTCGGGCCAATATGAACCTAAATCAAAGAGTTTCCACTTCGCGACGGGCGAGTGAGCCTCCGCATCTGATTGGTGCAGACTCTTACCGCGTTCGCAATCGTTCCAATGAAGAATTAAACCCTCGGATCCCTCTTACTGAGGCTGACTTCGAGCAGGAGTATAAGGAAGACTGGACTCGAAGAAGAGACATGGAGGAGCGGGAATCATCAAGGAGCATATCACGGTCCAGGCTGAGAAGAGATAGTTTCGGAGAAGTTGTATCACGACGTTCGCCGTCCCAAGACTCAATAGGCATATCAAGGGGAAGTCGAAGTTCACCGCTTCTAGATCGACCGCAGCTCGATGAACCATCAAGAGATCGCTACACACCTGCACACGACACGTGGAGTGTCACGGGACCTTCATCTCGGGCCTCACCCACGCACGACAGCCCCGAACATCAGGTACCATTGATGATCATATCTCATCTTCATCCAGATTATCTTAGTGATAAATGTTTATATTTTCCATTAAAAATTGTTATTTCTATTCAAGTATGGACTTGGGACAATAGTATTAAGGTATCACAACACCAATATTAATAGGCCTTTCTAATACCCAATTTTTTGGTATAGCAGATGATGCCAACTCGTTTTTCGTTCGCTATTATCTTTTACGAGTATCTATCTTCTCATCACAACTTTGTATCTTCAGATGAATGCATAACAAAAAAAAAACATAACAGTAAATACTAGTACATTGTTGACATAATTAATGTTGTGTTGGTGAAGTGGGTGTCGGGGGGCGATGGCGGGCGCGCCGCTTCGGAGGAGAGTCTGGCCACGATGAGCAGCCGCGGCAGCATCTACAGCGTCACTTCGGCCCGCAGCGACGCGCTGCCACGCCGCCACTTCAGAGCTGCCAACGCACGCGCGGTCAGTTCATGTCTTTCTCCAGAGACAAAATACGAGTCCTTGCGCGATCTCCAGTCAGTAACTGCTCATGTCTTTCTCCAGAGACAAAATACGAGTCCTTGCGCGATCTCCAGTCAGTAACTGCTCATGTCTTTCTCCAGAGACAAAATACGAGTCCTTGCGCGATCTCCAAAAGAGGCACATTTATTCATATCTGATGTCTTGTGTAAGCCGTTTTCAAGTCCATGATGCAATTTGGGGGAATTAAAAATGTTTCCTGACGAGTGAAATGAGGAATAAATATGCTTCCTTAGAAGGTCAAATTTTATCAAGACTTCCGAAGCAATAGTGTCTCTTTTTCTATGTGAAATCTTGGAAATGTCCTATGACGTGTTACCTAATTAAGCAATTACCTAAAAAGCCAATAAGGCAATAACCTAATAAGCCCTCACTCAGGGAGGGAAGGCCAGTTGTTTCCTCGTGTAGCAAGCTATATATACTATTTCGGCAAAGCTGCTTCGGCATTTACAGTCTTATCGTTATTGTATTGTAGTGAATATGACACTAAGAAGGAACCCTGACAATCAGGTAATGACTTTATTGTAGTTAATGTATTAAATACGTAAAAAGAGGGCGGTGTACCTGAGCGGCGGGCCAAACAAATAATTATATATAATAATTATTTATAATTTATATTATCATAATTATAATAATAATATATAATTATAATTTATTTATAATTTATATTATTTATAATAATATGCGGGCCAATTATATTTGTTCAAGCAAATATAATTTATTGGTTACGGTTTCGGAGTTAAGCGATGCTCAACGATGTCTCTGGTAGAAAATTTTGTGATCAAACATCGCAGCTACAAGCATTAAATGTGATGGAATGGGCATACAATAAAATAATTACTTTAAAATTATAGTAAAATCATATCAATTTTTATCAAATAATCTGATTATTACATCTTACCATATGATTGCATTTGCTTCATCTTTATATGAAGTTCCTCCAATAGAGCTCATAGCCTATAATATGACACGTTGCCGTGGCAACGGTGCAAGAAGAAAAAGCTTTACGCACGCCTTCGTCCGCAGTTTGGGACTGTAAAAACAGAGTATAGCGTGTAGCGCTTTCACGTGTAGCGCTTTGTTCATGTGTTTTATATTGCATTTAACCAAAAAAGTTCAATTTGCTTCTTTGTAATTCATCAACGCGATAACTGAACGAAACATAGTGAAGAATATTCAAAATATAACTAATGGTGTTGCTTTATTTGAATGAATATATCCCTGCCATTGAGCAGGACGATAGAGCGTGCAATGCTTTTCAGCTCATACCTTCAGATGCTAAACATCAACGTTATATTGTGTTTGTAAATAAAATTTACAAACACATCTCTCATTTCCGAAAGTACCTTAAAACATATATGTTCACTGCTCGTATGCACAGCTAGTGAGGAGAAACGAATGCAATACGCACTGAGTCCTACATCGCGTGACGTGTGAGACTAGAATGGAGTCGCAACACGCACTCTCCTGTCTCGGCAATCAGCATAGCAGTGCATGAAAAATTCATTGAACAATCGATTCATTTTCTCGTGCTCTGGAAGGAACAAAACCTGATGGCTATTTGTCTGGCTCAAGCGCGTTCAAGATATCCTTGAATATGAAGTAAGGTCTACCGGGAGTTCGTCTCACAGACGCTCAAATATTGGAAGAAGAGAATTTCAAAAATGAATTTGTTCTTTGTTTCTTGCACCCAAATAGCTTCAAGTAAAACATGTTTTCAACGTATCCCTGACATTTTAATGTTATTTACAAAGCAACTGGCTCAAGGAGAGCATATATTTGTCCCCAAGAAGAAATCGACAACAATTTCCGGCTGTAAAAATTCAAAGACACTTTCGTTATAAAGTTAATTTTCTTATGCTGATGGATTATGGAGCAACGTAAAATTAAGTTAACACAATTTTCAATCCATTTTTGTAAACAATAAGCTTTTACTAAACCTAAAATCTAATATTTCGTCAAAACCATTAATTCAAATACAGTAAATGTTATAGATGTGTCGACAGTAACTAGAGCAAGAAATTTAACACGATATTTACCCCTACTTCCATCATGCTCTTTGTTGGCGCCGGCCCTGCTAACACACTGCTTCTAATTTTGACTGGGTAGTCATACTCCGTTAAATACAACTTCGCAACTTTGCAGTGTATGCCCATCATGTTTTATAAGGATTCTTATCATGATAAAACTAAACTGATGCTTTTTACGTCTAGACCAATTGTCGCCACTTGGAACATCACTTTTAATGGATCAATCTTAGATTGGGTTGATGATTTTCGTCATCTAGGCTTAATCCTTGACAATAAAATGTCTTTTCAAAAACATATTAATTACGTTTGCCAAGGGCTTAGCAAAGCCCATGGATTGTTACATACTCTATCAAGTATCCTACCTTTCTCCTCGTTAAGAACGCTCTTCTATATGCGTTGTTTTTATGTAAATTTTCTAATACTCATGTATGTATAATATGGGGTGGAGTGCCTCTCTGTACAAAATACGGTTATCACGTTGACACTTCGGTCAATCTTTAGGGTTAGATATGTTAACTATGTACCATTGATTCGTACTAATGAATTATATGGACAGTCAAAAATCCTGAAACTCGACGGCATGTACAAATTTAAGCTTTTAAAAATCACGAATAGGACACTTTTTCATGATCAGCGTCTTTTTGAACTTTTTTTGCCTCTCTTGTTCTTCCTCATTTTCATGATACCAGAGGCGTTCGTCTCAACCTTCCACCGGTCCGTTTAGAAATAGGGAAAAATGATACTGTTTTTAATTGTGTAAAACATTTTAATGAACTGCCTGATGATTTCAGAATGAACCGTAGCATATCCATTATTATTATTTAACTTTGTTTATCACAAAGGTTTTTTTTCTTATTACAATTCACTTATGTACTGCATTTTCTTTAGGATGTATTATTTCGGATAAATATTTGTTTTACTTGTTGCCACTATTGCATTCAGATGCTTGGCACCTATTACGCCCGCGCAACTTTTTTATAGCTTGTATGGGCTTTTAACCTGAAAGCTTTTATTACCAAATAGCATGTCTTTTCTTTTCTATTGAGTCGTGCTGTGTTGCTTCTGTGTGTGAAAGAATAAAAAATTAATGTCGGTATCATGAATCTATTAATTAATAATTCTACAGTTTTTGGCTGGGACACACTGCTAGAATTCTGGATCGATGCTGGGATTCCAGACGATAATAGGTCACGACACGTGACATTTTTAAATGAATCAATCCTTATGGATGTGGCCTTGACTGCTAAGGCTTAGCAAATCACGGGTCCCTGAATTTTATCTGCAATTCCATCAAATTTATCATCAGCACTTCGGTCCAATTTATCATCGGCAAATTTGATCTTTCCCCCTCAGACGCGCCCGAATCCCCTCCCCCACCTCCCACCGTTCATTCTCAACGGGGAAATGTCCGACTCGGTCGCCTCGTCCGACGACATAGCGAACCCGACGGTACGAGGCTCAGCCCGCGGTGAGTTGTCGCTAGAATTTATTTTATTCAATCTAGACGTACGGTTCTATGTATATGAAGGGCGGAGTTTGAAAGGAAATTCATGTAATGAATTATCACTCAAAAGTGGTTAACATTTTTATCTGATGATTAAAATTTAGATTCCGTTTTATTTAGATTATATAAGATTCCATTTAAAACTTTGGGGAACATCTGTTTAGTTGCAGTTTTCATAGTTATTTCCACACATTATTCAATAAGAATTTTCACTAGACTAGATTTTTCACAAAATTTTGACAATTTAGTTTTCCAACATTAATAACTTTAATTTTGATATAATGAAACTTTATTTTTTAATGTACCAATTAACAATATGGGAATAATTCACTTACGATTTATAGACATGCCAAACCAGCAAATTAAACGCACGCTGTTAATTTTATTTGCCAGAACTAATGAGCCTTCACCGGACAACGAGCGAACCACACTACAACTTCGAGCACCTGGAGCTGGAGAACAGGCTTGCGGATCCGGTTTTTCTGCTGGAACAGCAGAGACAAATGGAAGGTCGCGGAGGGACGCTAGCTCTGGGCGGCACCTTGCCAAGACATCACCCACACTATCAAGATCCGACGAGCGATTACCCGACGGCCAAGGGCCGTGGTATGGACGGCTCAGGGGTGTCCGCATATACTTCGTCACTCCGGGGCAGATCTTTCTCAGGGATCCGATCGAGAGCGACCACGAGTTCAGTGGCGGCAGCCCTCATGGCTTCCAAAGCCCGTAATGTTTCGGACAACGCGCTGGACCACAGCACCTCAATACTGCCCATATTTCAGAAGCTTCTGAGTGAGAGGCAACGCGGCATACAGTCAGGTAGAAGAGACTGCGCCATGTCTTCTTGTCCTAACATTACAATTAAATGTGACATCGTCGAGTACCTATGATGTGACACATCTTATAATGGAGCCACTACACATCAATTTTATTGCTTATTTATCAGTTCGAGAAGTGGCTGGAGTAGAGTGATCAATCTTCGGGCCGGTTGGTTTTGCGAAACTACTTTGTGTTACACCTGAAATGGCGAAAAATTCGTGCGATCGTACCCGACTGGCCTGTTGCTCAAGCGATATCGTACGTTCGAAAGAGATTAATGTACATAACTTTGCATTTACTGTAAAGTAAGTATAGATTAGCAATATGTGAGGGAGAGGAATGATATATGTAAATGGGTTATACAGTAGTATAAAAACGGGCATTTTCTTGTTATTACTTTCACGAGTCACGTTGCACTGGTGTTGCTCGTTCAAACGGCTAGGATTGTTGTGTGTGTTTTTTGCTAAATGTGATAACAAGAGGTGCTTCATCACAACACTAGTAGAAGGTAAGCCCTCATCCCTCCCTCAACCCTCGGTTCTGGTGCGTGCATCGTAAGATGGAGCTTCGCGCTACCGCCCCTCCTCTTTTAGTCTTTAATTCAGCAGATGTATCGCAGTGAACTGCTGTGTGAGTGTGGCGAGTGTTATCTTATGAACAAGCATGATAAGGTTGAGGTGAAAGCAAAGAGAAACGATTGCATGAGTTATAGAAATTGAAATCACCGCGAATTTAAGTTTTGCTCTTCCGCTTTTTTCCTTATTAAACACTGGAAAATTCATTCGAATAAAGGTTCAAATTTTTTTTGATAAAATGGTTCTTGTAGGATTGAACTGCCAAAGTTGTGTCAATTGTTTCGATCAACTCGGAAGCCTGCAACTAACCTTCTGATTAAGGACGTTTCCGTTTATGACTTTGAATGGTTATTTTATGAGCGCTTAAGTAAATCAGTCTGCATTAGTAGTTTCCAATAGCCTTTAAGGCCTGTAAAAATATTCATTTCTCAGTTGTTTACCAATTGCTTGCAGTCTACATCAATTTACAACGTTATAATCGCACCGTGTTTCGGTTCAATTGCACTAAAGCCAAAGGTTTAACCTAATTTTTCTATTCATAATTATTCATTGCATCTTATTAGAGAAACGCTGCTCAAATCACTGGTATTCACATTTTATTAATCAAATTCACTAAAATAAATCACACACCGCCAAAAAAATCTGTCACTTACCTGGTCATCCGACTCTCAGTTTGTTGTCTTTCTGTTAATGAAGTTTGATATAAGTTATTTGTTTTTGATGAGCGTTACTTAGCTAGAAATGTCACGCTAAAATAAATTGACTGTTTCGAGGATGAATTGTAAGCTGTCCAGGAAGCACGACAGCTCACAAATCACATAGAATTTTTAATAAAAAGTCAAATTTTTAATTTCTCTTAAAATTTTTGTTTTTTAAGAAACATGACTTGTTATGTATCGAAATTTTATTGAATTTTAATATAACGAAATTTTATTGAATTTTTAATTTTGATTTTTTCCGTGATAATTAACGTCAGAAAATTATAAATTTTTTCATTTTTATTCGCGCGCTTAGTTATTTCTGCATCTTAAATCTTAATTCTATCCCTGTAATCTCCATTTCTCTCATGCATAACTATATGAAGGTCACGTCGTGCTCACAGACTTATGAAAACTTTTGGTATATTAGTCAAGTAAACATTGCGAACGTTTAGGAGGTGATACTCAGCGTTTATTCTCTAAGTTTCGATTATGATTATTATTATTATTATTATTATTATTATTATTATTATTATTATTATTATTATTATCATTATTATTATTATTATCATTATTATTATTATTATTATTATTATTATTATTATTATTATTATTACACTGCGGTGATAAACAATAAACACGGCATTAGCTCATGGAACTAAATGCTGAACTAATAATATGCACTTTTTAAGCACACTAAATGTCATTGAACTAAATTAATGATGCACTAGAATCAATAAAAAGCCTATTCCAATAACTACCTTTCTTTTAACTGATTCAAAGGCCCGCATTCCGGGAAACGATGGAAAAAATATATTTCTTGACTGCCTGCAACATGATTATAATTTTGGTTTCGTTGCGCGTATCATTCATGCACAAAATATTTTGTAGTTTCGTGAGTGCAAGTGAAACTTTTTACACACCGCTAATTTAAAAAAAAATTGCCTCATGTTCGAGAAGTAACTCTTCAGTTTGAGTTTCACTCAAAAATAACCCTACACCCTTTGAGGGTAATACCACTAGCCCAAATAAATTATTTAGTCCTCGTGATCCCGGAAATCAGATTTTGTACTCCTGCGTTAGCTTAATTAATAATTTAATGGATCGCAAGCGTTGATGTGAACGGAATGGACCGAGGTGCTCATTTTGGTGCGCTCTGGAGAAGCTCGAGCCCTTCTTCCGAGCTCCGCCAAGGGGTGCCTTCTATGACGTCTGGAGCACAATCATTCTTATCGTCTTTTAGCTTCCTAGCACTAAGGTCCCTTGCACCCCTGCCAAGGCGTTCGCTTGTTAGCTAAATAAATCACTTCAATATAGTTAATCAGCAATCTGGCCGTCGCTTAAGCAGTACCTCCATTTTAAAATTCAAAATTGTTTTGACTTTACGGGGAAGCATTTGTTCTGGAACCTTGAGCGACTTGTTGAGCTCTCAATTGGACAGCTATTGGTAATGGTATCTGCAACACCCCAGCTTGCGCCGCACAAAAGAATCGTACTCTTAAGATGGTCCCAAACGGAACATTGCAGACACCATGAGAGTTCCTTACTCTCGTAAGCAACGCTGAGCTTTAACAAAGACCCTATGGTAGGAGTGTGAGGTTTTGTAGCTTTACCATATAAGTGTTACCGACATGTTTGATAGAGCTATATGAGCGCCTCTCTGGTGTATAGATTGTTGCAAAAAATTTTAGTCTGTAAATAAGTATAAATAAATGAATATAAAGATTGTATAGATATTATTGAAATTTAATTCTTTATTTAGTGAGGCAAGGGAATTCTATACGCAGTAGGCTTTGCCAGTGGTAACAATTTAATCAGATTTTTTAGTGTTGCTATTACAGTTGCCTTGAATGCTTCTGTAAGATCTCCCCCCGATTTTTGCCCGTTAACTTAATTTACTGAAAACACACTCTATGTTTGTAATGAACAATGACTATGATTAAGTTTGTGAGGTATATTTGGGAGTAATATGGGCATTTAGTCTCAGCAGGCCCAAGGAGATGCTTACCACGGTAATATTAGTCACTAATTTGGCGAGTGCATTATTTATTAATAACGAACGTCTTATGATTTTAAAAGAATTTAAGCAGGTTTGATGGCGAAGACCGTAGACAATTATTAATTCCAACAGTCCCAAATATTTGATTCCATTCTTCGATGTCAATAATCGTCTCAATGGCTTTCTCATCGAATTCTACGTGGACATTCACTTCAATATTTTCACTCTTAATTTGTAACATTTTCGCGCCAGGTAAAGTTCAAGGATAATCTCCGCTGCCATTCATATAGTCTCACTAAACACATTTGCTTCGTAGAGATTTAGAAGAACTTCCATCGAAGTAAAATTCAAAAGGACGATTGTAAGACACCAGACTTAATTTCTCCAATTATTATTATATTTCAAGTGTCTTCATTCTTTGCAGAAGAAAATGTAACGAAGCCCATTTAACTACGTACTTTTTGTAACTTGGAGCGTTATAAATTCCTTGCGATAATTTTTCTTCCGTCTGGAGGAACAAGAAGTGTTCCCGCAACGGAATGTTCATCAGTTGACGGCGGCGTCCGAAGACCATGGCCTATACTTTCAAAAAAAGTTAAGAGATCGTATTAAGTTCATCAGCCAATCATTGACGGCCTTTCAAGCAAAATCCACCAATCATAGACAAGAAAATAGAGCGTAAGTACTTACGTTCACTTAGCGAGTTTTGAAAGTATGGCCCTAGTCGTTTAAGTATGACGCGACGCTGAGATTTCATAAGGTCATCCCGCTCGCCATTAATAATTCCTAACAACGATGGACATATCGTCGTGTTTAGAGTTACCGACATTTATACCTGCTCACCTTTCACAAGCCGAGTGTAGACCAAAGTCTCGAATAAATAAATATATGCTGAATTTCACTGTACTGAAATCCGTACCTCAATAACTGTGTATGCACTCTTCAAATGAGATGTCGTCTTTAGCTATAGTACTAATACCCTGTTTCCGATGCGCCTGAAAATGATAACAATGCAATAACTCCAGGGCTGCATTGGTGTTCCAAACAATTATAGTGACTGATGGTTGGCTTAGTTATTGTGAAAAATATCCTGAGAAAGTGTCAAATTTGTGTGGCTCTCATGAAAGGTTTTAAGAAGCTTTTAGAGGGCATAATTCACTGCCAAAATCACTCTTAGTTATTAAGACGCTCGTGGCGCTTGCTCATGTTGGAGCTACCGTACTTCATGATCGGTTCCTGCTTCCGTTTATTTTGTTTCATAAAACGTGAGTAATCCGAGTATAGTTTGTGCCAACAGAGGATTTATTTGTGTATTAAATCGCTGAATAAATGTGGCGGATGTATGATCGAAGATTATTTCAAATTTTTTTATAAATTTCTATATCTCTAGAGAATATTTGATCATTTATTTCATAATTCAAAATGAACTTAAAGCCAACCCTGCAGTTTTCTGCCCATAATTTCCTAAATTATATTTTATACGGGTAATTTTGTTGACTGGCAGCTCTAATTCTGAAGAGGGTTTGAAAGATTTCTACTTCAAGCGCCACTGAAAAGCAAAGCGAACACCACAGAGAGTAGTTATTAAACCTTAATTTAATAATAATTATTTAATTCAATTGATTAAATAGATTAAGTTCATGCAAAGTAAATTATTATTATTTGAATTATAAGTTGTTCTATTAGTATGAGATGTAAAACCAGCGATGTCATCGACATAACCGACATATTAAGTCGCTTGTAATGTTTAAGAGCAACGTTCCTGGCGGTAGATAAAAAAATTGGATTTTTTATTACGATTCTCTGGTTGTTTTTCCATGACAATGAGCTTTGATTCTCAATATGTTTAGCAACGATGCAAATTTTATGATTGGTGTATTTTAATGAATAACTTATTGACCACATTCCATGTGATTAAGTTTACAGAACGCAAAGGCAATCAATTTATAAATGAAGCACGTGAGGAACTCCAACTATTTATCACGTTTTGTTTAATCATAAATAAGTGAACCGTGGCATAAGACAGATAACTGTGTTTTATTTCTATTATACAGATTTGATACTTCCTTTTCGTTTTGAATTTAAGCCGGCGCTTTTTATAATTTTTTTTCGTCCATATCCCAACTACCCACAATTGCTGACTGTAGGAAGCTGAATTTATTTTTCACTTACAAGTGTTTTTATTGTTTTTTTGAATGAAAGCTTTAAAAATTGATAAAAAACACTAAACAAATTATTAATTAATAAAATTGACCGAATTTCTGTTCATTTAACTAACCGAACAATGGAGTGTCAGAATGTAGACAATTTTTGTGGAAATCCGATAATTATTAGCAAATTATGATCAATGGTATTCCGTTTGCAATGAATTAGCTTTAAAGAGGTTTCCAAATAAACGTCTAATAAATAATTGACAAATATTTTAATTTATTATCATTATCTGTAATCCAAACACTCAAATACGTCATCTGATATGCTGTTTTAATTAGTTTTAAATAGGATGCATTTCTCCACTTGTAACAACTCTTCTTTGTCTGAATTGTTCTGGTTGTGTGAAGTAGAATTTTTTATTTGAATGAAATTTCGTCGGAATTTCCCCCGGCCGCCAGACGCTGTCATATTAGCGATGCGGTCAGCAGCAGATCGAGCGCTCTTCAATAACTGGAACAATCCTAGATTGATGAATAAATGTCTTACCCTAAACTTCTTTGCTGAACCTTGGTTTAATTTCTGTTTTGACTATCAGTCGACCAAATTTGAAGGAAGCGACTGTGTTCTGCCCACTTGTATTCTGTTCAAAGCCCAATTTTGACGGAAAGTTATGAGGAAAGTCAATAAAATTAGCTATTTGGCAACAACGTGGCAATTAATCTACGAATGTGCTGCTAAAAATTAATAATGATTATCGTATGAGGTCAATCAATGTTGTCATATATTAGCATTTAAGATCGACTTTTCTCGTAGAAAAATTTTGCTAATTATTTAGATCACAATTTATTTCTGATTTACAACTGAAAGTGGATTCATTTGCCTCAGAAGCAAGTTTTGGAAGATAATCCTTCGTGTCCAGAGATGTCCCGTTACAATCAGCTGAGGCTGAGCATCTGCACTACAATTTTGCGCTTCTGAATCGTAATCGCGCACAGTGCCTTTATTGCCATATAAAGATGGTAG